TACCAAAATAAAAATTTTAAAGGTCCAATTGGAATAAGATTTCTTTTAAAAAGTAGTTTGTTTTTAATTGATAAATTTTTAAAAATCCTACCTAAATCCTAATTTTTCATCTTACATTACAATGTTACATTGTAACAGCATTACAAGCAGCTAATAACTCTGTACACTGAAAAATAATTATAAATTAATTTAAATGAGACAGCCATTATATAGGTGGAAACACACACACACACAGACACACCTATACCCCTCCACTAACAGTCAAGTTTGAAAAATGAATGGGTAATTTTTTAAATAACAAAATTGTGTTATTACTATTATTGTTATATTTGCAAAATATGTTTCCAAGGAAACATGAAAACCGTACCATGAAAAACAAATACTGAATTAGTAGCTTTCTATTTATTCTTTTCCTTCTGAATTTTCAGTTCATAAATTATGGGCATTAAGACAAAGATAAATATTGTTATTGTTGAATGTGTCCTTTTACTTATCACTAAAGCCACTGGCTTTACAGGTCCAAATCCTGCAGTGTGTTTAGAAATCACTCACGTGTGACAAATGTCAATGAGATAACCACCAAAGGAAGGAGATGTGTCTGATGAATTACTATAATCAAATAAGAATCTGATAATACAGACACTATTAAATTTTTTTTTTTTTTTCAGGTGCCATCTCGGCTCACTGCAAGCTCCACCTCCCGGGTTCACGCCATTCTCCTGCCTCAGCCTCCCGAGTAGCTGGGACTACAGGCGCCCGCCACCACGCCCGGCTAATCTTTTTGTATTTTTAGTAGAGACGGGGTTTCACTGTGTTAGCCAGGATGATCTCGATCTCCTGACCTTGTGATCCGCCTGCCTCGGCCTCCCAAAGTGCTGGGATTACAGGCATGAGCCGTGGTGCCCGGCCTTAAATGAGGTTTTTATACAGAAGAAAATCAAGTAACTCCTATACTCTAGGATGGCCTTACAATTCTTAACATAGAAAACAGAATTATTTCCTATTTGGAATTAAACATCTGTTAATGCTTTATTCTCTGTTATACCTATAAAAAATTAAAGATTATTTCTATACAGAGGCTGTACCTGCAAAAGTCATTGGAAGTCGTAGATAATTTATCCAATGCTTTTAATTTGGAAAATTCTATTGATTACAAGCTTCAAGGCTATAAGAGGTCTACTTTTATGTTTTAAATTTAGCATGTTAGTCATGTTTTTTATTCTTCAAAATGTTGCCTAATTCAAGTTTGCAAAACATTCACTGAAAGTCACCAGGAACTAATATTAAACACAGATGTACTTTTCTGGAGGCAAATATTAGTTACAATTTTCAAATGTGAACAGTCTAAAGAGAGTTCATGATAAAAATAATTCAATTGAAAGGAAATTTGGTTGTTTTTGTGGCAGGCAAAACAAAGATAATAAAGCCATTCCAAGAAAATTTTAGACAAAATGTCTCTCAGGATAATGATTAAGTTTATTTCCAAATAAGTCTGAATATTGGATCTGGTTTACAAAGATAAATGGACAAATTTCTATACAGGAAAAAATTTTAAGATATAACATAATAATCCTGAGACATAATTTTTTAATACCAAGAATATCAAGTAAAGAGATTCAGGAAGTCCAAAGCAGTGCCTAGATATCTGTATATTTATAAACTCCATAGAGAAGTCTGATCTGCAATATCCACTAAGAACCACTGGCCTAGAAAATGCTGGACTTAAATTAAAAAAAATTTTGTTTTTTGGAGACAGGGTCTAACTCTGTCACCTAGGCTGAAGAGCAGTGGTGCAATCACAGCTTACTCAGCCTTGATCTCTAGGCTCAAGCGGCTGAGTAGCTAGGACTAAAGGTGCTTGCCACCACGCATGGCTAATTTTTTAATGTCTTGTAGAGGTGGGGGCCCACTATGTTGCCCAGGTTAGTCTTGAGCTCCTAGGCTCAAGTGATCCTCCTGCCTCAGCCTCCCAAAGTGCTGGGATTATAGGTGTGAGCTACCATGCTTGGCCTAGATTTAAATTAAAGAAGGCAGGCTGTGGTCCACATTTTAAATCATATTAAAATGATGACTGATAACACTATATTGTTGCCTAATGTCATCAAGAAAAATACCACACGACTCTGATAAACACAGGAAAACTCTACATAACAATGCTCTGCATGGAGTCAAGTTTAAAACAAATAATATGTTGAGTATATACAATATACGAATTCAGCAAAAAGAATATTGAGAATGGACTTTGTTAAGAGTGATGAAAATGTTTAAGATTGCTCACTTACTGGAGAGAAACAGTTTCAGCTGATGAGAGGAACAATGCGTAGGATAAGCCATGAGTATGGCTGATGATGCAAACAAACAAACAAAAGGAAACAAACAAACATGTTTCATTTCTTATATCCCAGTCAAAAACTGTATCCTAAAGATACGTTCAAGAACCTGTTTCCAGAAGACAGGCTTAAATATATATATATTTGAAAAGATCAATTTTTACACACACATGCTCCCAACAGACATCCATAATATTACATATATTATTTAAGATTAAAATATTTATATTTAATGTAGTCCTAGGACTTGCATCTTTTCGGTGGAAAGGTGGTAAAGATAATGCTACTCATTTTATAAATATATAAAAGGAGCTAACTTCCTTAAGTTCAATTACAAGATTTCCTCAGTGATCTCTTTAGTAGTAACAATATAAAATATACATAAAGGCAAAGGTCATATCTCTATCATCATTAAATAAAAATCTGGTATCCAAGTTAACAGTTTCCTCTGACCACTCCTTTTCACACAAAATATAAAATGTCTCAGGTTAAGATTCAACCTTCAAATCTGAATTCTAATTCTGAGAGAATTTTTCTCTTATTCTTTTCAGAAGCATAAACCTGATTTTCAATACAAGTACTCTGAAGGATAATTTTAATATGTCCTAAATAGAGAAAAAAAAGGAAACCTTATTGGTGTTCCTTGCTAATGACAGAATGAACACTTGGTATTTTTTCTTCTACAAAAGGATGCACTGCACTGTGACCCAAAAAAAGTTAACATATTTTAATTTTGTTATTAACTTCTTAATAACAGACATGGGCTTCACAGGCTAAAAAGAAAGACTAAACCAACTGGCCAATCTTTATGTTTATACACTTTCCTGATGTGTATGCCCTGATCTATTGTTTCCTTCTCTCTTTCAATTTTATCTGAGTAATGCCAGAATACTGATTGAAAAGTTGTAAAAAATTTTTTATAAAGCTTCTTTATTCTCTAAGCGTGCACAGCTATTACATTTTTTAATACTTGATCTCACTTTCCAAAAGTAAAATAATTATTTTGGTATAAATCTCTCCCTATCACCAGGCTGCTGAGATTATTATTTTCGTCATCACCAGTATCAAGAAACAAAAGCATATAAAAAGTTCTGCAAAGATAACAGACTTTTTTTTTTTCTTTTCTTTTTTTTGAGATGGAGTCTCGCCCTGTTGCCCAGGCTGGAGTGCAGTGGCATGATCTTGGCTCACTGCAACCTCTGCCTCCCGGGTTCAAGCGATTCTCCTGCCTCAGCCTCCTCAGTAGCTGGGACTACAGGCGCCCGCCACCACGCCTAGCTAATTTTTGTATTTTTAGTAGAGATGGGGTTTCACCAGGTTGGCCAGGCTGGTCTTGACCTCCTGACCTTGTGATCCTCCCACCTCGGCCTCCCAAAGTGCTGGGATTATAGGCATGAGCCACCACAACCGGCCAGATAATGACTTTGTAAGAGCCAACTTGAGATACTATATTCACCAATTGAAATGTCCACCTGTTATTTCATTCTAATGATACTGTTCATTTCTTCCATTATATAATATATAACTAATTTCTATGGGTAACATCTAAATATACCAGAATCCTCAAAAGTACTTCTTTCCAATTATTTTATCTAGTAAGTTTTAATTCAGTAGGCTATACTCTTTAAATGAGTAATATATTATTCAGCTAATAGTTGTTTGCTTATTTTGATAGATAAAATTTAAGTTCCATTCTCTAGACTGTTGCTAGTATTCTCAAATATTTTTCTCTAAATTCCACATTTTTTTTTCCTTTTCTTTGAAACAAAGTCTTACTCTGCTGCCCAAGCTGGAGTGCAGTGGTGCAATCTCGGGTCACTGCAACTTCCACCTCCTGGGTTCAAGTGATTCTCCTGCGCTGCTCAGCCTCTCGAGTAGCTGGGACTACAGGCACATGCCACCATGCTCGGCTAATTTTTATATTTTTAGTAGAGACGGGGTTTCACTGTGTTGGCCAGGCTGGTCTTGAACTCCTGGCCTTGTGATTCACCTGACTCAGCCTCCCAAAGTGCTGGGATTACAGGCATGAGCCACCACACCTGGCCCACATTTCTGGTTTTTACTTTTTGGAAAAAACAATATAAAAAATAATTCCACTACCTTGTACATCTAGTATTAGTCCAGGTAGGATATCTATTTTATGGTGAACAAAATTTATTTGTACTATAAAGTAAAAACTGCTTATTTCTTCCATCTAAAAAGCAGCATTGTAAAACATCATAAATGTAGGCATTTTTTCTAATTATCTAAGTTTTAGAAAACTCATAAGCATCCAAAATAATTTTCAAATTCAGTATTAAGTAACCTTAAAAATAAAGAAGGCATTTTTACATCAAAATCTCTGGATAAATAACAAAATAAAACTTAGTAGGTTTTGATTTAGAAAAAGTTTCTTAAAAAATCAGTATTTTAACAACTAAAAATCAATCATGTTAGTTCTGCCGACTTGAAATGTCCTAAAAAACTGTAAGATTAAAAAAAAGATAGCCATGGTGGTACCATGGGTGAAGCACTGGATTGAAACCTCCCATCCCCCACCCCCCCCAAAATAAAACAAATGAATAGAAGCCAGTCTCATTTATGCATCATAATTATTGCTATTGAACTTATTTTGAGACTTTTTTCAATACAAATTCCTGAAGTCTTAAGATACCTTGACATTAACATATGTTCTATTTTAAAATTGTTGTACCAGTTTATTTCAGTTATTTACCTAAAACATAGGTATTTTTTCCTTAATAAAACAGAGGATTTTTACTTATTGGAAAGAAAATTCTTCTATAGCTTTTTATTAGCCCTGACTCACATCAAATCGAATCTATTCAAAAGTTTCCCTAAACAGAATCCTTTATTTCTTAAATTTTTTTTTACTCACTCAAAAGATTATAAAGAAAAGGGCACTGGATACTGTGGTCAACAGGAAAGCGAAATTGCAAAGGAAAAATTTCTCTTAAAATTCAACTGAGAAGACAGTTGGATATAAGGACATCTATGATTTGTGGAACAAAAACTAATATTATTACTGGTCACAGATCCCTTTAAAGAAAGCCATGTAACCATTCCTTCCTGAAAATGCATTTAACATACAAAATCTCTGCACAGTTTCAGAGGGATTCACAAGTTCTCCCAAACACATGAAATCTCAGATTATTAACACTGGTAGTTGTAAAAGCTCTCTGACCCAACTCAAAAGATAACCTTACAAAAAATCTAAGTTTAACAATGTCTTTGAACTCCAAATTAATCAGACTTTTACTTTAAGATCTTAATAATCAAGCACAACTTAACATTTAACATTACATAATAAAATTAGCTATAATCCTAAAACATGAAATAGAAAATTTTAAATTACTATATATAAAAGATTATTTTAAGTTATGTATATCTTTTCAATTCATTCATCAATCACACAGATATCCTAAGTGAAAATTCAACATATTTGGGTATTATTTGCTTGGTGAAGAAAGAGTCAAGAAATTTTGAACTTTGCAAATGTAAATTGTGTTGCAAATGCTACTTAAAAGACCCAACTGTCAAAATCACAATTAGCACTTGTGCTTAATTATATCATTAAGGAAATACATCTGTAAAATGTATCTCTAGTTCCACTTTTTTCTACTCAATTTTTATTATTTAAGGACAATAATAGAATTCAGTAACTTCTCATTAGTAACATGCTAGTAGTAGTAGAATTAGCTAATGTGCCAGTTTCAATATTCTTATTTTATTCTCACCATGCAAACCTGTAACTTTTACTGAGTTTTGAAAATCCAAGTGTGCAACAGATACCTTTAAAATATTATCCCCAATCAGGAGTTCCATAAATAAATTGGTATGTTTTCATTACAGTGGTCAGTAAATAGAAAAATGATTACTTAAGAATGTATTTAAAGCCATCTCTCTCAACTGTCCCATTATCTGTAATCTTTTATTAGAAAAATCTTAAATTTTATCATTTGGAATAACAAGCAATTTAAACCTAATTTTCTCATTTTAGGTTTGTTTTAAAAATGGATACAATGACCTTTAGGAATAGGCCACTAAATCAAATCAAATGTATTTTCTCAAATACATCTTAGTATAGACCAAGAATTAGTTTATATACCACAGCAAATTGTGGTTATCTGTAAATGATTTTCAGGGATAAAAGCCTTGCAACATTGCAGAGAGTTGAGAGATGTGGTTAAAGCAACAAAGCAATAAATAAGGTTTCAGTAATCATAACAGAAAAATGAAGTAACAGTCACTTGGAATCTTGAGTATTATATTCAGTTTCTCCAGCTGAAATCTGGCTGAGCCGCTTGCTCGATCCCCACAATTTTCGAGAAAGCTGACCTGAACGCATCTGTGTAAAGTAATCCAAAGAAATGAAGAATAAATATTAAGAAAAAAAATAAAAATGATATATAAGACACTGATTTTGCAGAGTGAAAAGAAACAAATTGTTAGCAGAATTATTAACACTTTAAAGGTTATTAACAATAGAGAAAGACGGCCAGGTGTGGTGGCTCATGCCTGTAATCCCAGCACTTTGGTAGGCAGAGGCAGGCAGATCACTTGAGGCCAGGAGTTCGAGACCAGCCTGGCCAAAATGGCAACCTCCCGTCTCTACTGAAAATATAAAAATTAGCCCAGTATGGTGCATGGTGGCACACGCCTGTAATCCCAGCCACTTCGGAGGCTGAGGCATGAGAATTGCTTGAACCTGAGAGGCAGAGGTTGCAGTGAGCTGAGATCATGCCACTGCATTCTAGCCTGGGCATCACAGGGAGACTCTGTCTCTCTCTCATACACATACATACACACATAATAATAACAATAATAATAATGGAAGACTTTTATGCTTATTTTGTCTTTGGTCTAATGTCAATGTGTACATTTCAAACAATTAATGGCCCAGTTATGTCAAAATTACCAGATTCCTTTATTTTACAAATTATCAAAAATATGTATTACTTCATCAAAATCAGCTTCTCAAAACTATTTTTTTAAATTTTTAATTAATTTTTTATTTGTTTGTAGAGATGAGATCTCACTATATTGCCCAGGCTGGTGAAGTCCTGGGCTCAAGCAATCCTCCCACCTCAGTCTCCCAAAGTGCTGGGTTTACAGGTGTGAGCCACCACACCTGGCTCAAAATTATTCTTAATTTTGCTAACAAGATATACAGGTTTGGAGATTTTCTTTTCTTGAATTTGCAGTACTGTTAATGCCAATCATAAGTATAAGAAGAAAGTAAAATAAAGTTTTGATGAAATTTTAAAATATTTTAAGACTTTCAAAAAATAATATTTAACAAGAGAATGATAAAAAGTAATGTAGAAAACAAGGAGAGCATAAGCCTCTTGAAGGCAGGAATTGCATCTCATTCACCATTAAATTTGCATCACCTACCATCCTTCCCAGTGTGTAATAAATATTAACCAAATATTAATTAAATCAATGAATAAATAAATGTCCTTTAAAAGTGTTTATACATCCAGGTGGGGCAAAAAACCCCTACGGTTTGTTGTAATTACTTTCTCAAGTGCAATCTACTTTTTAATGGTGATTCCACTTTTTTTTAGAGACAGGGTTTCACTCTGTTGCCCACACTGGAGTGCAGTGGTGCAATCTCAGCTCACTGCAACCTCTGCCTCCTGGGCTCAGGCAGTCCTCCCACCTTAGCCTCCTGAGGAGCTGAGACTACAGGAGCATACCATCATGCTCAGCTAATTTTTGTATTTTTAGTAGAGATAGGGTTTCAACATGTTGCCCAGGCTGGTCTCAAACTCCTGGCCTCAAGTGCTCCACCCACCTCAGCCTCCCAAAGTGCTGAGATTACAGGCGTGAGTCACCATGCCCGGCCTGCCACCTTTTTTAATGGTCACTTTTCTTTTTTTTTGAGATGGAGTCTCACTCTGTTGCCAGGCTGGAGGTGCACTGGCACAATCTCGGTTCACTGCAACCTGCACCTCCTGGGTTCAAGCAATTCTCCTGCCTCAGCTTCCCGAGTAGCTGAGACTACAGGCGTGCACCACCACATCCAGCTAATTTGTTGTTGTTGCTGTTGTTTTTTGAGACGGAGTCTTACTCTGTCACCAGACTGCAACCTCTGCCTTCCTGGTTCAAGCAATTCTCCTGCCTCAGCCTCTGCCTCCGGAGTAGTTGGGACTACAGGCACGCACCACCATGCCCAGCTAATTTTTTTTTTTTGTATTTTTAGTAGAGACAGGGTTTCACCATGTTGGCAAGGATGGTCTTGATCTCTTGACCTCGTGATTTGCCCACCTCAGCCTCCCAAAGTGCTGGGACTATGGGAGTGAGCCACTGCGCCTGGCCCACACCCAGCTAATTTTTGTATTTTTAGTAGAGATGAGGTTTCACCATGTTGGCTGAGATGGTCTGGATGTCTTGACCTCGTGATCCCCCCACCTTGGCCTTCCAAAGTGCTGGGATTACAGGTGTGAGCCACTGCGCCCGGCCTAATGGTTGCTTTTCTAGGATATATTTATTGGAGTGATAAAAGAGAAGCTTTATACAAAGTACTAGTGGCTTTGGCATGCTTGCTTTGCAGTTACATTTACAGATGTATTTTCTGAAGCACTACTACCTTACCTGATTTTTACATATGATTTTCACTCTAATAGAATAATATATAAAACTGGTACACAGGGCCGGGCGCAGTGGCTCAAGCCTGTAATCCCAGCACTTTGGGAGGCCGAGACGGGTGGATCACGAGGTCAGGAGATCGAGACCATCCTGGCTAACACAGTGAAACCCCGTCTCTACTAAAAAAAGAAAAAATACAAAAAACTAGCCGGGCGAGGTGGCGGGCGCCTGTAGTCCCAGCTACTCGGGAGGCTGAGGCAGGAGAATGGCGTGAACCCGGGAGGCAGAGCTTGCAGTGAGCCGAGATCTGGCCACTGCACTCGACAGAGCAAGACTCCGTCTCAAAAAAAAAAAAACAAAAAACAAAAAAACCAAAACTGGTACACAATTAAAAATATGTATTAATCAAGATTTTGATATTTTAGATAAAAATAGATCTTGAAATAGAAATATCTTTTCATAACTAAATATGGATCTAGTTCATATTCTACACTGTAGTACAAAGTCTTGCTCTGTCACCCAGGCTGGAGTGCAGTGGCATGATACCAGCTCACTGCAACCTCCAATTCCCAGATTCAAGTGATTCTCTTGCCTCAGCCTCCCGAGTAGCTGGGATTACTGGCGTATGCCACCACACCTGTCTAATTTTTATATTTTTAATAGAGACAGGGTTTCACCACGTTGGCCAGGGTGGTCTCGAACTCCTGACCTCAAACGATCCGCTTGCCTCGGCCCCCCAAAGTACAGGGATTACAGGCGTGAGCCACCGTGCCCAGCCACAATAATATTAATTTAATGACACTTTTTTTGTTAAAATAATATGCTGAAAAAAAAGCATAAGGACTAAAGAAATTTCAAATATTTATAAAACAGTTTTTTACGATCTTTAACAGGTTATTATAGCCACTGACTGTGTGACAGTAATTTCTTCCCCTGAAATAACCCCGACAGATCCCATATTGTTAGATTTCTCAGAAAATACCAACAGTGACTTAAAAAAAAATTATAATGCTTAATTTAACTACGTAATAACATGAATTATTTGGAAGAATCAGTAAGTTACTAGAGTATAACTACAGTTTTCCTAAGAGCGAGAGTTAGATTTATGATACATGAATATTCAATAATTGATAAATCATTAGCAAGTAAATTTAACTATAGGAAACTCACTGAGAATAAGCACACTATATGGGGATATTTGTAGTTACAAATAAAAAATGATGCTTTTACAAAATAACTGACATATAGTTATGATGAATATTTGTTAAAATTAAAGTAGTTTTATTGTTTGAGCCTATATTTCATTCTTTTGTAAAGGCTCTTATGTATTGAAAATCTAAGTCGTGGTCTTGAATCTAGATTTGGAAGAAATGAATTTTCTTATTCCTATAGAGTGGTAGATACAATTGCCAAAGATGGGCTTTCAATAATAATATAAACATCACTTTTGAATAATAACTTTATCCTCTTTTTATTTACTGCCTTTTGAAAAATCAAATTTGGTTTTAATTTGTTTATCCCTAATGGTAACTTCTCAATCAGCTGGAATGAAGGAGAACCAAAGTAATCCCTAACAGCATGAGAAATGAAATTACTGATGCTAGGTTTTACCTCAGCAGGCTTGCCAACACCCACTACAATCAATTTGCCGTCTTCTAAACCTACAAGAATATGGCTGCATTCTTTGGTTACACAAACACAATGGATAGGCAGTCGCATAGCTAATGGGTTGATGCTGAGATTCAAACTAGAAGAGAAATAAAAAATACAGACATAATTACATGGATTTATAATGAATTCACAGAATTTTATATCTGGAAAATAAATTAATGCTCATCTAGTTCTGGATTCTAATTTTACAATGTGGGAACTTGTGTCCAGAAAGTCTAAGTGACTCACACAAGGGCCTGTATTTATAGCATTACTTAAAAACACTTGATAAACAGATCTTTTCTCTATTTTTGACATCTATTTTTCTTCTAAACATATATAATCAAACAAAATATCAATAAAGCAAACATGAACCTAAAATATAAACATTTTCTTGACTTTCTAGAGAATCTTACTCTTTTTTCAATTTTCCAACCCATTCTATTATTACTTCAGTTTTTACATCTTATTATTACATTCGTCATTTATCTAAGGTAGTCTTTACGTTCCCTTTAGAGAGATTAGAGGGAAGGTGAGAGACAAAGTAAGGAACACAACAGTTAGATAGGATTTTATATGGATACTAACTAGATTCTTATCCTTAGTGTTATTCCTAAAACAGATAGAAATAAAGTTCCTGTACCAGTCACTGTTCTCTGAGCCTCAGACTCTCAGTGGGCATTTGTTCTAGTCTTGCTCTGATCTTATCCCTGAAATGCAGCACAGTACACACCAAGTTCATTGCTGTTCCTATGTCTTTGTGCTTTATTTCCTCACATATTGACTACCTCCATCTCCAAAAGAAGGCCCTCCCTGTCTTTTCATGTCCTTTTAATTCCTACTAATCCTTCATCAAGACTCCTCTGACTACTCAGATCCATGCTAATCCTTAATGTCTTTAAAACTTCTTGTACCTGTAACTGGGACCATATAATTTAGCTCTTAAACTGTTCATAACAGTACACAAATATTGATATTTCCCCAACTAGTCTTTTTTTTTTGAGACGGAGTTTTGCTCTGTCACCCAGGCTGGAGTGCAGTGGTGCGATCTCAGTCACTGAAACCTCGGCCTCCTAGGTTTGAGCAAATTCTCGTGCTTCAGCTTCCCGAGTAGCTGGGACTACAGGCGCCCGCCACCAGAGCCGGCTAATTTTTGTATTTTTAGTAAAGATGGGATTTCACCATGTTGGCCAGACTGGTCTCGAACTCCTGACCTCAAATGATCCACCCACCTCAGCCTCCCAAAGTGCTGCGACTATAAGCGTGAGCCACCACACCCAGCCTCCAATTGGTCTTAAACCCCTTAAAAACCATTATTATGAGTAAGCATCACAGCACCTAGGCACTCTCATGCTTATTGCCCTGTTGATTCATAAGTGAGAGGTAGATAAGAAGCCCAGAAATCTTGGGCCAGGTGCAGTGGCCCATGCCTGTAATCCCAGCACTTTGGGAAGGCTGAGGTGGTTGGATCACTTGAGGTCAGGAGTTTGAGACCAGCCTGGCCAACATGGTGGAACCCTGTCTCTACTAAAAATACAAAAATTAGCTGGGCATGGTGGTATGCACCTATATTCCCAGCTAACGTGGAGGCTGAGGCAGGAGAATCACTTGAACCTGAGGCAGAGGTTGCAGTGAGCCAATATCATGCCACTGCACTCCAGCCTAGGTGACAGAGCAAGACTCAGTCTCAAAAAACAAAACAAAACAAAACAAAACAAAAACACATATCCACTACTCCAATATCTCTCTCCTTCACTAGATCGAATGACAATAGATCCCCCTACCAATTTTATACACACACATGCATAAATATGTTAAATATACTCTAGTTTAGTTTACTACAATTAAAAAACTTTATAAAAATTCAAACCATCATTTGGACAAATTTCCAGATCCATAATTCAGACTTGGTACTATGAACATTTTTTTCTAGCTCTACATATTTAAAACATTTCTTTTGAGACAGGGTCTTGCTCTGTTGTCCAGGCTGGAGTGCAGTGCTATGATCACAGCTTACTGCAGCTGTGACCTGGGCTCAAGCAATCCTCCCACCTCAGCCTCCCAAGTAGCTGGGAACACAGGCACATGCCACCATGTTCACCTAATTTTTAAAGCTTTTATTTTTAGTAGAGATGAGGTCTTGCTATGTGCCCAGGTTGGTCTTAAACTCCTGGGCTCAAGCATTCCTCCCTCTTTGACCTCCCAAAGTGCTGAGATTACAGGCAGGAGCCACTGTGCCCAGCCTAAAAAATTTTTTAATTGTGGTAAAATATATATAATGTAAAATTTTCTATATAATAAAAAATGTATATATATACTTCATTTATGAGTCCAGGAATACGTTAGTTTCTCCAATTTTTTATACTTGCTAAAAGATAAATTTTTGTAATAAATGATAAACCAAAAGATTAAAAATCTTAGATCCTGATTTTCACTCTAGACTAGAAGTACTGCCACCTTTTCTTAAGTGATACTTCATTGGTTTTTATTACTTACCTGTGGAGATCTCTTATAGACAGGAATCCTTGTAAGCTGCCTGTGACAATGTGTTCTCCAATTATACATATATCTGATACTTGTTCCTTCAGGATTTGAGACCCTAGATACTTGCCATTTATAGAAAACAGATGTAATGCATTCTTATCCTGCAAAGAATTAAGGAAAATTTAACAATTTCAAATAAAAACTGAGGTTTTATATTACCAGTTAAAACTCTGACTATAACAGAGTAATTATTTGGTTTAAAATTCTGGGATAAAAATATGGCTATATTTAAAGACCAAGTGTGTAGACAATATTATTAAAGTGATTTCAAATCAGATTGCCAAGTAAATATTAAACGAGAAATCTCACTCTCTCCAAAGAATTAAAATCTCATTCAGCCCTCCCCAACACCCTACATTCTTAAAACAAAAGAAAAGAATTCCTTTTCTTTTGAGATGGAGTCTCGCTCTGTCAACCAGGCTAGAGTGCAGTGGCGCAATCTTGGCTCACTGCAAGCTCTGCCTCCCAGGTTCACACCATTCTCCTAACTCAGCCTCCTGAGTAGCTGGGACTACAGGTGCCCACCACCATGCCCGACTCATTTTGTTTTTTGTATTTTTAGTAGAGATGGGGTTTCACTGTTTAGCCAGGATGGTCTCGATCTCCTGACCTCACGATCTGCCCGCCTCGGCCTCCCAAAGTGCTGGGATTACACGTATGAGCCACCATGCCTGGCTTTTTTTTTTTTTTTTTTTTTTTTTGAGGTGGAGTCTCGCTCTGTTGCCCAGGCTGGAGTGCACTGGCATAAACTCGGCTCACTGCAACATCGGCCTCCCGGGTTCAAGCAATTCTCCTGTCTCAGCCTCCCTAGTTACTGGGACTACAGGCATGCGCCACCATGCCCAGCCAATTTTTGTATTTTTAGAAGAGATGGGGTTTCACCATGTTGGCCAGGCTGGTCTGGAACTCCTGACCTCAGATGATCCACCCGCCTCAGCCTCCCAAAGTGCTGGGATTATAGGTGTGAGCCACCACTCCCGGCCCCCAAAAATTCTTAATATTGAAAAAGCTTAGGCTGGGCATGATGGCTCATGTCTGTAATCCCAGTGCTTTGGGAGTCGAAAGCAGGAGGATCGCTTGAGCCCAGGGGTTTGAGACCAGCCTAGGCAACATAGGGAGACCTTGTCTCTACCAAAAATTAAAAAAAACTAGCCAGGTGTGGTAGCACATGCCAGCAGTCCCAGCTACTGAGGGGGCTGAGGCGGAAGGATCAGTTAAGCCCAGGATTTTGAGGCCAAAATGAGCTATAATTGTATCACTGATTGTGCCACTGCACTCCAGCCTGGGCAACAGAGCGAGACTCTTGTCTCAAAAAATGCCACTGCACTCCAGCCTGGGCAACAGAGCGAGACTCTTGTCTCAAAAAAAAAAAAAAAAAAAAAGGCCGGGCGCAGTGGCTCATGCCTGTTATCCCAGCACTTTGGGAGGCCGAGGTGGGCAAATCACAAGGTCAGGAGATCGAGACCATCCAGGCTAACAACGGTGAAACCCCGTCTCTACTATAAATACAAAAAATTAGCCGGGTGTGGTGGCGGGCCCCTGTACTGTAGTCCCAGCTACTCGGGAGGCTGACGCAGGAGCGTGGCGTGAACCCGGGAGGCGGAGCTTGCAGTGAGCCAAGATAGCGCCACTGCACTCCTGCCTGGGTGAACTGCCATTCTTATGTTTTCCTAGTAACACACACACACATATATATACACACACACACACACATACACACACACACACACATATACACATACATTAATTAAATAAATAGTGATGTCACTGAAAGGAAACAAATACAAAATTGAGGGCTTGTTTATTTATATCCTGCCTTATGCAAAAGGAATTTCAGTTGGCTATCATTTCCAATTTCCACTTAAGCTTAAAAAATCCTACATAATCAGAAATTATTCTGAAATCATATATTATACAAGTCAATAAAAATCCCAACAATAAAATACTAATGTGAGGCTACGATTGTGGTAGAAGTCCATCTAATGTTAAGAAACAAACAACTGAATGATGAAAGAAAAACATCCTCTTTAAAATATGGTGTTTTTTCCTTCTTCAATAAACCTCCTCTATAATGTGGGGAGGGAAAGATACACTATTGGGCGTCTACCTCTATTGCATGAAAGGTCATATACCTTGAGGGTGGTCTTTTCTTCAATGCTGGAGTAGATAACAATATGTCCTTCCCAAGATATAGCCAAATTAGGAATGGTCAGGAACAGAGAACTCTCACAAGGTGGTCGTAAAGTCCTCATGTACTGACCTTTCTGAATGGTATGTATCATCACCGTTCCATCCTACACACAGGATAGATCAGAAAATGAAAAAGACAAAGAAAAACAACAGCAAAAAGGAATAAAAGTAGAGTGGGCCAGATAAAGAAATGTCGGAAAGGAACCAAGAACATGATTATTCCATCAAGGATATATGCACCTTAGGAAAAATTCCAACTTTGAAATTTCAAATAGTATTTTATTTCCTAGAATGCCCTCTTCCCTTAAATAATAAAATGAATAAAATCCCAAAATGGCATTCAGTTTTTTATTTTGCAAGGTCTATTCTACTTTTGCAAAGTCCTATACAAATATGGTATAACATGTCTATACTTTTATCAATTCCTCTGAAAAACATTTTAGTTATAAATGTTGGTAATAAATTTGTAGATAAATTAATTAGTATTTCTTAAAGGTGAAATCTTACCCTTGATCCCGACACTGCCATGTCTAGCTCAGTGCTGATGCCGACACTCAATACCTCATCGGTGTGTCCATAAAGAATCTGAAAAGGTTTAGATGCTAAGCCCACAGGAACACCTCCCTAATAATAAAAGAGAAAAGCAAAGGTAAAGGTGGTTTCTTGTTTTCTGTTTTTTATAAGGTTTATTTAACCTTCTAATCACATTTAAATGAAGGTTCATTTAAACCTTCTAATCACAAACTAACATTGCAACTAGGTACATACCACTGAGTCTATTCATAATAGTACTCATTCTTACATTTCTACCTGGATTTCTGAATTATTCTCCATCTCAAAAACTTAACTAAGCTCAAAACCTTAACATAAATTGTTGCAGTGTTGACAGTCTTGCATTAATTTTTCCAAGTACGTTATTTCTCCTTTTAATCTACAGATTTATTCTTCCTTAACTTCAAATAAACTTTTTGTGTTATATCTCTGAATAACTTTATTTTTTTGAGACAGGGTCTCATTCTGTTGCCCAGGATGGAGTACAGTGGCATGAACATGGTTCATTGTAGCCTCGACCTCCTGGACTGAAGTGATCCTCCCACCTTAGCCTCCCTGAGTAGCTGGGACCACAGGAATGTACCACCATGCCTGGCTAATTTTAAATTTTTTTGTTGAGATGAGAGTCTTGCCATGTTGCCCAGGCTGGTCTTGAACTCCGGGACTCAAGCAATCCTTCCGCCTCAGCCTCCCAAGGTGCTGGGATTACAGGCATGAGCCACCACGCCTGGCTGAATAATGTTTCCATTTATTGGGATCGCTGCTTCAGGGACATCAATTTTTTTTATGCTGACTGTCTTTGATTTTTATAGCTATCATTCTTTCTCTAACTGCTTTAAAGTTACTTTTTTATTGGCATTCACTTTGATTACATCTTTTTTTCCATGCTACTAATTTCATTTGCAGCCACATCAAATCTCTTTCTTGCAGTTTCTGCTTTAGGTTTGTTTGCGTTTGTAATGGTATTTTTTTATAGGTCTTGGCTGCAGCCCTTTGAAAAAACATTTGTGGGTACACAGTAGGTATATATATTTATGGGGCATATAATGGTATTGGTTTTAATCTCGGCTTGATTCTTCTGCAACCTTCGTTTTCATCTTATAATGCTATTTTATGATTTCATCTTTGATCTTCCATTTTATTGAACTGCCATTCTTATGTTTTCCTAGTAACAGAATTGTATTGCAAAAATTGCTCTCTGAGTCATCTTCCAGAAGAAAGACTCTTTCTTCATGTCTTTAGCATGCTTTGTCTTTAGCATACACATTTGTATGTTGTTTTATTTGAATAGTTGCTATTTGTATTTGTGATTATCCTAGACAATTCTGCCCAGACCTTCTACCTGTTCCATGCGGTGTACACTCTGCTACCTTGACACTCTGCTACCTGTGACACATTTGTCTTCCCCTGTGAGTATCAGTCTGAGTGCTCAGTGCACTATATTTAACTTTCAAAACTCAGGTGATTCCTTATGGAAGTAATTCCAGTTCTAGAGAAAGAGGAGCCCTTCCTAAATTTATTTGGTAAAGACTGCATATCCCCATACTAAACATGATAAAGACAGAACAAAAATATCTATTTTACTTAAGAGTAGAGAAATCATTAAAGTACTAGCTAATATACATCAGTAAAGTGTAATAACAATATACCATAAATTATGTGGGTTTATTATAAAAATTCAAGGATGGTTCAAACCTAGGAAATTTCTCAACATACATAATACATTACATCAAGAAAAGGTAAAAGGAAAACTATAAATAAGATAAATGGGGAAAAACAGCTGTAAAGAACATTATTGGAAATATAAAATTAGAACATGGACTGTGGATTAGCTAATGGTATTTTATAAATGTTAAGCATTCTGATTTTGGTAACTTCGCTGGGTTTATGTACAAGATTGTCTTTGTTACTAGAAAATACACACGGACCTATTTAGGGGTATAGGCATATGATGTCTCCAACTTTTAAATGGTTAAAAAAAATAAGATGTTGTAAGAGGGAGATACTAAAAGAGACTGCTAAGACACATGATACAAAATATACTACTTTTGCAAATTTTTTACAAGTTTGAAATTTCATTAAAACTATAAAGTTACCAAAAGAAAAAAATAATGGCAGTGTTTTCACTTAAATGTGAAAAACACAACTAGTGAAACCTAACAGCAAACACTATACTAAATGGTAACATTGGGAAGGCATTTTCATCAAAATTAGATAAAGGCGGGGATGCTCACTATAATTTTGCTTACCTTATTGTATTAGCTAATAATGTAATATGGTAAGAAAATGAAATAATTAGTATATTAGAAAAGATAAAGCAAATCACTTTTATTTTCAGATCACATGATTGTATTATCTCCCTTATCTTATTTTCAGGAAATCCAAGAAATACTAACAACCATGAGAGTTGATAAGAGGATTTGGCAAAGTAACTTATAGTCAAATCACTATATAGCTTTTCTTTATATTAACAATAATCAGAAACAAAAATGATTTTAAAATCCCACTAAAAATAGTAATAGAAAACATGATAATTTGTTTTTTTTTGTTTTTTTTTTTTTTTTGAGACAGAGTCTCGCTCTGTCGCCCAGGCTGGAGTGCAGTGGCCAGATCTCAGCTCACTGCAAGCTCCGCCTCCCGGGTTCACGCCATTCTCCTGCCTCAGCCTCCCGAGTAGCTGGGACTACAGGCGCCCACCACCTCGCCCGGCTATTTTTTTGTATTTTTTTAGTAGAGACGGGGTTTCACCGTGTTAGCCAGGATGGTCTCAATCTCCTGACCTCGTGATCCACCCGTTTCGGCCTCCCAAAGTGCTGGGATTACAGGCTTGAGCCACCGCGCCCGGCCGATAATTTGAAGTAAGTATCACAAGGTATAGGATCTAAATGAAAAAGAAAGAAATTTTATCAAAGGACATAAAAAGGACCTGAAACAAACATGGAAAGACACTTCCTATTTCTGTAAATAAATAACTATAAAAATATACCAAATTATCGGGAGGCGGAGGTGGGCAGATCGCTTGAGCCAAGGAGTTCGAGACCATCCTGGGTAACATGGCAGAGACAATCATTTTGTCTCACTAAAAATACAAAAACTAGCCAGGCGTGGTGGTGCATGCCTGGAGTCCCAGCTACTTGGGAGGCTGAGAAGTGAGGATTGCTTGAGCCTGGGAGGTCAAGCCTGCAATGAGCCATGATTGTGTCACTGCACTCCAGCATGGATGACAGAGTGAGACCCTACCTCAAAAACAAACAAACAAAAAACAAAACAAAATCCCAAACCAAATTAACACATAAATTGAATACAATTTCAGTAAGGCTAAAATGGAGGTTTTTTTTTGTTTTTTGTTTTTTAAAAGAGGGTATGGGGCCAGGCGCAGTGGCTCATGCCTGTAATCCCAGTGCTTTGGGAGGCCGAGGCAGGCGGATCATGAGGTCGAGTTCAAGACCGTCCTGGCCAACATAATGAAACCTTGTCTCTACTAAAAATACAAAAATTAGTTGGGCGTGGTAGTGTGTGCTTGTAGTCCCAGCTACTGGGGAGACTGAGGCAGGAGAATCGCTTGAACCCAGGAGGTGGAGGCTGCAGTGAGCCAAGGTCGCGCCACTGCAGTCTAGCAGGATGCGCGACAGAGCAAGACTCTGTCTCAAAAAAACAAACAAAACGAAACAAAAAACAAAAGAGGGTATGGTTAAAACTTAAGTTCATATGTAAGAATAAATACCTATATAAGACTAGCTGGGACCATTACACTTTAAGTGTAATGCTTTCTATTCAGAAGTAAACAAAGCCTTATCCAATGTAGATAAATAAGTTATCAATAATTTAAAGATTGTAATATAAGAAATAAAACAAAACAAAATTAGAAGAAAACAAATTTTTTTTTTGAGATAGGATCTTGCTCAGTCACCCAGGCTGGAGTGCAGTGGCAGGATCTCAGCTCACTGTAGCCTCTGCTTCCCTGGCTCAATCAATCAATAAATTAAAGATTGTAATATTTCTTTATTTCCCATCTCAGCCTCCCACGTATTATAGCTAGGACTACAGGCATGTCCCACCATGCTCAGCTAGGTTTTTTAAATGGAAGAAAATTTCTAGATACTTTTTATAAATTTGTAGTGGGAGAGAGCCTGTTAAGACAATGCAGAAAACATAGAAGCTGGCCAGTTGCAGTGGCTCACGCCTACAATCCCAGCACTTTGCGGGGCTGAGGCAGGCGGATCACTGAAGGTTGGGAGTTTGAGACCAGCCTGGCCAACATGGTGAAACCCCATTTCTGCTAAAAATACAAAAAAAAAAAAAGAAAAAAGAAAAAAGAAAAAGTAAAAAAAGCCAGGTGTGGTGGCACGTGCCTGTAATCCCAGCTACATGGGAGGCTGAGGCAGGAGAATTGCTTGAACCTGGGAGGTGGAGGTTGCAGTGAGCTGAGATCATGCCATTGCACTTTGGCCTGTGTGACAGAGCGAGACTCCATCTCAAAAAAAGAAAAAAAACAAAACAGAAGCTATTTAACAAAAACGATACTTCCTGGACCCATATTATTATAAGAAGGCAATCAGGTTGATGAAAACCATAAATCTATAATTTCTAGTAGTCCCACAAGAAAGAAAGTAAAATGTTACTATGCTAAAAGACAATAAAAATAATTACTGTTTTCCTGGGAGAGGTAAGAAGGAAGAATCTTTGGAAAGCAATAGGGAATAAGGTAATGAATCAGACAGTAAACCTAGGAAAAAATGTGGTGACTTGGACAGGACAAAATGTGGGTAAAAAGAATACAAAGGAGCTCAGTCACTACCAGAAAACAATTCGATGTCCTAGTAGAACATTTTGCTAGTATTTTCAGGGTCAATCTCTGATCTAAATCAAGAACATTTAAATGTGTGACTACCTGTTGTGTTATTTGCCATATCATACATGTAGTATCTCTGGAACCAGAAATCAAATGTATTCCACAGTAATCTGTAGCTAAGCAAGTCACAATATCTGTAAGAAAAGGAATTAAATAAAATGAAATGCCTTGTTTTGCTAAAATAGAACTTTAAGAGCAATTTTTGTTAATGTTCAAACTATTCCTAAATCAGTCATGCCAACAGGGAGGAATGTAGGCATGGTACTGGAAAAGCATTGGGGAAGAGAGCCACAGGAAAGCAGCAGAATCAAAATCACCTTGGAGAGCTTTCTTTGAAATCACCCTCCTCTGAGCATGAGAAGTAGACATGCGGTGTGGGGAATGACTACCACAATCTTGGGAGGAGGTTAGATAGTTTGAGATAGATCCCCAGTTAATTTTCATATGCTTCTTTGCCTTCTCATCCCCATTCACCTTCTACTGTCATTGGGAACTGTAATCCTATAGAATATATGTCCTTAGAAAAACTGCACGTACTATACTATAAATTCACGATACAAATATACTTTTCCTAAACTGCAAACAGCTGAGGTAAGTGATATCTTAGGATTGACTGGTACAGAATTAGCAGCAGACTCCATTTCCTTCCCCAACAGGTTTATTAGAAAAAAATCTACTCAATGTTTTATTCTTATATTGAAGATTGATACACTAAGAAGTAGCAGATTAAAACTACATTCAACAATTTTATCACTCTCATGTTTAACTGTTAACATAGTAAGAGGGCAGTTGATGTCTTATTTAATGACAGCAGATTTTGTTACCATTTTGTCTTAAAATTCTTACTTTTATCATTCATTTAAAAAAAAAAAAAACTTAGCCTAACATTTCCAGATGCTATGAAGCTGTATTTAATTTATATGGTGCTTTATTATACCCAAAATACATGAGGCACTCCTATAGAAAGCATATATTTATAATCTTACACAATAAAAAAGTTCACTAGGCTTAAAAGGTAAAATTTAATGCTCTTTACGAGGAGCATGTACTACTTTTACAGTTAAGAAAAAAATAAAAATTTTGAGCGTTTTTGGAAAAAAAGCTAATGCTTACCCATATGCCGGATGATGTGTGAGATAATTTTGCCTTTTGTAAGTGACATCACTTGAATGCTATTATCCCAGTATCCAGCGCTGAAGAGCAACTTTGCATCATGTGATACTACAAATAGCTTAGAAGTGACCTCTAGCCCGGGAGCAAAAGGACCATTCATACTGCGCTGAGTTCTGTAAACACAATTAAGTATCAGACTGTTCCTTAAAAGATCACTTACACTGACACGAACTGTTCTTTTTAAACCTCTCTAAAAAAGAAATAAAAACTTAGTCCCAAATGTCCTATTTGAAATGTCTATTAATAAACGATAGACTTGCAGAAAATACGTTACCTCACTGTAATATTTTTCATAAAATAAGAATATACACAACAATCTCAAGTGCTAAGCAAAAAAAAGTTGAGATCAGTGAAAGTATGAAAAATGCTTAAATCTTGGATTTCAAAGACAATTTAATAAAATTGGCAATTTTGTAAATGGCAGCCTTAAAGTTTAAAGTCTAGTAAAAAACTAGACAGGATATGCCAGGACTAGGAATATCAGAAATAAACTTAAACCAGGGATGTCCTACACAAGGTGACGCATAGGAGATAAATCAGGCAGATAAGTGTGTATCTAACAACACTTAGGATGACTGTTCTCCATTTGAACCAAAGCAAGCATGCTGGTTTTGTCAGCTTCCAAGTGCAATACCTGTGAGCTTAGCCAATCTAGATTCTTCAGAAAGACAAGTGATTGCAACTCAGTGTGTATATAGAAAACGAAGGCTAATTCTCATACTCTAGCTATAAAACTTTATTGTTCGATATTAATTTGCTGAGAATATGCTTCTTGCAAAACATAACAGTACTATGTGGGATAAGAAAGAAAAAAAGACATTTTCCCTAATCTCATGAAGTTGTATTCTAGTTGAGGAAGACAAAGATACAATGATAATAATTACAACATTTTAAATAGTTTTCAAATATATGGTGTAATTTGATCCTCAACACAGAGTGTGATTTTTTTTTTTTTTTTGAGACGGAGTCTCGATCTGTTGCCCAGGCTGGAGTGCAGTGGTATTGATCTCGGCTCACTGCAAGCTCCACCTCCCGGGTTCACACCATTCTCCTGCCTCAGCCTCCTGAGTAGCTGGGACTACAGGCGCCTGCCACCATGCCTGGCTAATTTTTTTGTATGTTCAGTACAGAAGGGGTTTCACCGTGTTAGCGAGGATGGTCTTGATCGCCTCACCTCATGATCCACCCGCCTCAGTCTCCCAAAGTGCTGGGATTACAGGCATGAGCCACCATGTCCAGCCAATTTTTGTATTTTTAGTAGAGACAGGGTTTTGCCATGTTGGCCAGGCTAGTCTTGAACTCCTGACCTCAGGTGATCCGCCTGCCTCAGCCTCCCAAGTTCTGGGATTACAGGCGTGAGCCACTGTGCCCAGCCATGAATGTGCTTTAACTAGAAAAAAATATAAGGAAACAAACAGGACAACTCAATGTAAGGGAAACACCACTTTAAGTTAGAACATAACTTTTGGAGATTAAGACACATAGGTCTTATTTTTAAATAATAAGGTAGAATAAAATTACAAGGAAGTCTGTTATTCCTAATGTAATTGCATTTTTATAACTGATATTATGGAAATTAAGTTTTGTATTTAAACCAATATAAATTCAGGACATAACTTAAAAATAAGGGAAGGTTGTCGGGGGAGGGAATGGAGGGAGGAAGGAAGGAAGAAGAGATAATCTGGATCTCAAAACATTACTTTCAGGGCTAGGTGGCCTATAATCCCAGCACTTTGGGAGGGTGAGGCGGGTGGATCACTTGAGGTCAAGAATTTGAGACCAGCATGGTCAACATGGTGAAACCCGATTTCTACTAAAAACAAAAATTAGCCAGAGAATCCCTTGAGCCTGAGAGGCAGAGGTTGCAGTGAGTGGGGATTGCGCCACTGCACTGCAGCCTGGGTGACAGAGCAAGACTCTGTCTCAAAAAAAATAAAAAAATATTTCTTTCAAATTAACATGAATCAATTAATCCAGTTTTTTTTTTCCTGGCAATAAGGTACCTGGTATAGCTGTTTTGCTTTAAATATTCATTTACTTACTTTGGATTTGTCACAGTTTGATCCTTGATGAATGTAAAGTAATTAGAAATGTTTCTGTCATAAGGCAACCATCCATGGGTTCCAATAACAGAATTCATGCTTATTGTTATCTGTAAAAGAACATATGAAGACTCAAATTAAACGAAATATTAAGGAAAGCAGCCCAGAATAACCAGATGCTCACATGACATTGGCATTTATCACTTAGGGAATACTGTGAGACTGTGTACTTCAAACATGAAACGCATTAGGAACATCTTAAGATAATTCAAACAGAAAAAGTTCTTTGCTTATCTTTTATTTTCACTCCGTTGCCCAGGCTGGAGTGCAGTGACATGATCTCAGCTCACTGCAACCTTCAGGCATGTGCCACCATGCCTGGCTAATTTTTGTATTCTTTGTAGAGACATGGTTTCACCATGTTGCCCAAGCTAGTCTCCAACTCCTGGGCTTAAGTGAGCCTCCCACCTCGGCCTCCCAAAGTGTTGGGATGACAGGCATGAACCACCACATCTGGCCTTATTTATCTTATTGTAAGAAAACTTGACTTTTTTTTTTTTTTTTTTTTTGAGATAGAGTCTTGCTCTATCACCCAGGCTGGAGTGCAGTGGCATGATCTCAGCTCACTGCAACCTCCTGGGCACAAGCAATCCTCTGACCTCACCCTCCTGAGTAGCTGGGACCACAGGCATGCACCACCATGCCTGGCTAATTTTTTGTATTTTGGTGGAGATGGGGTTTCGCCATGTTGCCCAGGCTGGTCTCAAACTCCTAAGCTCAAGCAATCCACCCACAGCCTCCCAAGTTCTGGGATTACAGATGTGAGCCACTGCGCTCAGCCCAATTTATCTTTCTTTAGGAATATTATTTTTTCTCATGATTTCTCAAAGTTTATTAGCAGTTATTAGCTGGCAGGTAGAAGAAATTCAGGGACCAGTCTTACCATAAAAATGTAATATATATCATTTAGAACATAAATCAGAAGCAGAATTTACAATGAATTGTTAAGGTCTCCCTGTAGTGACAGTCATAGTGAGTAAGTTCTCTTCTCTTCAAAATGAAAAGCCTTTATCTTCTTGATTATAAAAGTTAACAAGTTACCCCACACAAAGGAAATTCTGGTAACTTTAAAAAACGCAGGCACTTTGTAAGGCTCAGGTGGGAGGATCACTTGAGCTCAGGAGTTTGAGACCAGCCTGGACAACATGGCAAAACCTGATCTCTACAAAAAATACAAAAATTATCTGGCCATGGTGGTGTGTACCTGTAGTCCCAGTTACTCAGGAGGCTGGGGTGGAAGGGTCACCTGAGCCCAGGAGGTCAATGCTGCAGTGAGCTGTGATTGGCACTCCAGCCTACGTGACAGGGTGAGACTCTGTCTCAAAAAAAAAAAATATATATATATAAAAAATATATATTTATACATAGGTATTACAATTGATATTCACAATATTGCCACTGCTCAAAAAGTACTATTACTATTTTTGTATATCTTTCTATTTTTATTTTTATTTTTGTTTTACTTAGAAGGAGTCTCACTCTTGTCATGCAGGTTGGAGTGCAGTGGCGCGATCTTGGCTCACTGCAACCTCCACCTCCTGGATTCAAATGATTCTCCTGCCTCAGCCTCCCAAGTAGCTGGAATTACAGGCGCCTGTCTCCACGCCTCTCTAATTTTTTGTATTTTTAGTAGAGACAGGGTTTCACCATGTTGCCCAAACTGGTCTTGAACCTTTGACCTCAAGTGATCCGCCTGCCTTGGCCTCCCAAAGTGCTGGGATTACAGGTGTGGGCCACTGTTCCCAGCCTATTTTTGTATATCTTTTTAGATTTTATTTTCTGAGCAAATGTTGCCCAGGCTAGTCTTGAACTCCTGGGCTCAAGCAATCTGCTTGTTTCAGCCTCCCAGAGCACTGGGATTACAGGCATGAACCACCGTGCATAGCCAAAAAGTGGCTTTTAAAAAATATTTATTTCCTCTTTTTTTTTTTTTTCTTCTAAGTTGTAATGAATATAGACATGGCAGTGTAAAAAAGGTAAAAATCAACTTACCAGTAACTCAGGGCTGCCTTGAGACATAAAAGAACGATACTGATTTTTGGGGACGGTGGCCTTTAATAGTGGAATACCATCACTAATCCCCTGTAAAATAAAAGAGGTTTAGTGGCTGGTTCTGCTCATCTTTATTAGGTACAAATTACTGAAAACCATTTCTTTAAATAAGGATGAATCCTGTGATACATCATTTTACTCTCTTGAAACATCTAATCAATTAATTTAAAATGAAGGAAAGGAATTATATACCATGTATAGGTGGCATACTTGAAACTTCCGAAACTCATCACCTTATATTCAACTACACTGCTTTTAAAAAGAGACATAGATTTCAAAGAGCAGCAATAATTTAAAACAGCCAATGATTTAGGATCTATCCTAAGTTATACTGACATAAATATAAAGCAGAAAATATGGATCATATAAGATAAGCCAAATGAGAAAACTGGTCATAATTTATAGAAATTTCCTTTTGGGTCTAACTTTCAAAAAACATATCTAATCCATTAACTGGGATACTTCCTGAAAGCCACAGTAGGACCAGAAAATAAAGACAGCACTCAGAAAACATCTGCCATTATCTTATAACGATGTGAAAGAGAACAATAATTTGAACTCAGTTCCTTGATGTGACAATAGTTCACAAGTGATATCTAATATTTACTAGGTAAATGATAACATTATTGGGTATGCGCTATGTATCAGGTGTTGTTCTAAGAACTTAATAGGAAGTAAGTAACAAATTATAAAATTCATTATAATTTATAGAATTATAAAATGTTGGTGATTATCTTTTCTCTTCATGTTGTGAATTAATCCAGAGAAGAATGACTTGCATTTGAAAATGGTGCCTGAAAAAAACCCATTTATTAAGCCCTTGTTTTCACTACTACCTCTACTTTCTTCACAATTTGAACACCTAGGAAGAGATGACCTACAAAAGGCCTTCTCTTTTCATATTAATATATGGGGAAATACCTCTTACGAGAATGAAAAGGGATTAACAAGTTATTGGTACTTAAGGAAATCAATTGTGTTCTTTATACTGATCCAGATACTGAATGTGTCCTGGAGAAAGCTACTATGTGACACGGTGGGTACAGAGAAGGGCAAATGTGTTGCTGCACCTGCAGATGGAACTTGGAATGTACTATATTACAACAAAAGTCACAAATGATTAGATAAGATGAAAATAGTTCTATTGGCATTATAGAATATAGTATTGCATGTCCATCAGATCATGGATCAAATAGGGTCTCATGTGTTGTTTTACATGCAGTAAAGAGTTAACAGAGCAGTCCTGAGACTGCCATCATTATTATAGAAAGGCCTACTTGCAAGACTGGCCTTTGGTTGGCATCTGGGACTTGGCTGGCGAACAGTTCCTCCTTACACTGATATAAAACTTTCCCTCAATGACAAGGGTGGCTCACTACACCTAGACTGTTTGTGCAAATAGTATGGTTTATGCTAAACACTTGTTTTTCTTCTGGAGTCTGGAATTTTGGTATGTGCCAGGCAGAGGGGTGTGTATGCGACCAGCCTCCAATAAAAACCTTGGGCACTGGGTCTCTAATGAGCTTCTGTGATGACAAAAAATGTGTTTCCACATTTCATTACTGAAAGAATTAAGTAGGTCTTATGTGACTCCACTAGGAGAGGTCTCTTGAACACTTGTGCCTGGCTTCCCCTGTACGTCACACCATGTGCCTTTTCCCTTTGCTGATGTTGCTTTGTATCCTTTCACTGTAATAAATCTTAGCCACGAGTACATCTACTTGTTGAATTCTGTGAGTCTTTCTGGCAAATCACTGAACCTGGGGATAGTCTTGGAGACTCCCAACATATCCTGGGAATTGGTTACAATTTCTGAGCATTGTTTTTATGTGTTCTGAGTTCTACGCACCTAACTCAGATACTTTTGGAAACAACCAAGTTTGCAGAATTTGTATTGCAACCCTAAATAACTATTTCAGTAAACATGGATTTAGGAAAAGAGTGACAGATTAATTTTGAAATGCTTTCACAAACACGTGAAAGCATTTCCATACCAAAATGTAGTGGTGTACCACATAAAAACGTTTAATTCTTATATCAATTAAAAAATACAGTGATGCTTACAATACTGTTCATTTGAGTAAAATTTATTATAAAACTTTAACTTTTTTTTTTTTTTGAGACACAGTATTTTATTTTTTTTGAGACAGAGTCTCGCTCTGAGTGCAGTGGCATGATCTTGGCTCACTGCAAGCTCCGCCTCCCGGGTTCACGCCATTCTCCTGCCTCAGCCTCCTGAGTAGCCGGGACTACAGGCGCCTGCCACCACGCCCGGCTAATTTTTTGTATTTTTAAGTAGAGACAGGGTTTCACCATGTTAGCTAGGATGGTCTTGATCTCCTGACCTTGTGATCCACCCGTCTCGGCCTCCCAAAGTGCTGGGATTACAGGCGTGAGCCACCATGCCCGGCCAAAGCTTTAAGTGTTATAAAACTCATAAACATTTTTTATACTACATTATCAAAAAATAGAATTTTTTGATAATTGATTTTCCCATGGTTATTGAATCTGAGAAACATGCTGCAGTGATACTGTAATGCAGGGTTTTACAAACTACAACCTGTGGGACAAAGCCAGCCCACCACCTGTTTTGTAGGCGGTGGGTGAGCTAAGAATGGGTTTTATATTTTTAGATGATTACATTTTAAGTGGTTATATATGTACCTACAGAATATCTTTGAGTTTGCCTTTTGGCCTGCAAAGCCCAAAATATTTACCAGTTAGACCTATCTCACTGCTGCACACTTTTCAAATAAGTTATTATTTGACAGAAGAAAAAGTTTACCAACCTCTGCTGTATTGCAGAGACTGTTCAATGTATATCTTCAAACTTACTAACTTTTTATTTTCAATTTTCTTTTTGTGAAGGGTCAATGCTATCTGTCCTAACCACATTCACAGGTATGAATGCATTTTATAATCACATTCTGAATTACTGCAAGTAATTTAATATGTACATTTAAACATTTGAATTTTTTACTTAAACTCTTTCAATTACACCATTAACTACTCTTGTTTTACTAGACTACTCATTCTATCAATTAACAATGTGATTTATTAGGATCTATTTTATATTTGAGCAGACATTATAATTAAGAGCTATTAAAATATTATCTCCATCTACATATCATCTCGATTATCACAAGAAGCATTTTAAATCAAATTATTTATTCTTCTTTGTCAGGAAAATGTGAAGTAGATGAAAGAAAGCCAAGAAAAACAGTTCAGACTACCACTCAGCAGCAAACAAAAACTTCTAATAAAAATGTTTTAAAAATCCAACAATAGATTATTACTGTAAAATTTACTATCTTAAATACTATAATCCTTACTTCCCATTAAATAATTAAAAGACTTTAAAATGTACAGAATTTAGAGAAAACTTTTTTTGGTATTACCAAGTTGGATATTACCTCTATAAAAAATGACTTGAGTTCAGGAAGGTGTTGAAACAGGTTTAGGGTTGAAGTGTCTATTTTGGTCGGCTTCTGCACAGCTTCTTCTGCTGATAATCTTGGAGGGTGTGGTTCCTTCAAAATAATTTTAAGGAAAAAACAATTCCATATCTATATTATTAATCTGTCACTATGTTCCTTCATATACACTAGGCTCTAGCTACAATGAATTACATACCATGCATTGTTGACAATTCTAGGTGTTGGCTCAGACTAGTCTCTTAGCAGAGTTACTACTTTCTTCATTTCTTTGGAAACCCCACTTCTACTTTAAAGTTTTTCTTACTGATATCTCTCCTAAATTTTTAAGTCAGAATGTATTATTCTCTTTTATTATTTTTCCTTGGCAAATAATTTATATTTTAATTGTAACTTATTTCTTTCTATGTTGGATTACATATAGTTGTTTATGGTCTGTCTTCCCCAACTAGATTATAAGTGCCTTAAAGCTAGAGAAGCCTTATTCATCTTTGGATTTCCATACTAGACCAGAATCCTACACATGTTAGATGCTTGGTAAAATTAAATGTAGTATTCAAAATTCAGAATGTATAATTTGGATGAATCTTTAATTCCTTGACAAGATCAAAATGTCAACACTGGTCAGGTATGGTGGCTCACACCTGAAATGCTAGCATTTTGGGAGGCTGAGGTGGGCGGATCACTTGAGGTCAGAAGTTCAAGGCCATACTGGCTAACATGGTGAAACCCTGTCTCTACTAAAAATACAAAAATTGGTCAGGCATAGTGGTGTGCACCTATCGTTCCAGCTACTTGAGAGGCTGAGGTAGGAGAATCGCTTGAACCCACAAGATGGAAGTCGCAGTGAGCTGAGATCATGCCACTGCACTCCAGCCTGGGTGACAGTGAGACTCCATCTCAAAAAAAAAAAAAAAAAAGTCAATACTATCAGAATCAAATTATAGGTACTGCTGCATACTTTTCAAGTAAATTATTATTCTTCCTCAACTTTCATGTCAGAAACACAGAACAGTATCACCTATATAAATATGAAATAAATGGCAAGTAAAATGAATATTTCAAAGGCACAGTTAAAAGGCAAAATAGAATTCTATCTAAAGTAAATTCTTGCATCTCTACAACAAAATATTGATTATAGGCAATAGATGTGAAAGCTGTAAGTACGAAAATATTTAGCTTTTAGACCAGGCATGGTGGCTCACACTTGTAATCCCAGGACTTTGGGAGGCTGAGGCAGGCAGATCACCTGAGGTCAGGAGTTAGAGACCAGCCTGCCCAACAAGGCGAAACCCCATCTCTCCTAAAAATTAGCCAGGTGTGGTGGCGGGCACCTATAATCCCAGCTACTTGGGAGGCTGAGGCAGGAGAATCGCTTGAACCCAGGAGGTGGAGGTTGGAGTGAGCCGAGATCGCGCCATTGCACTCCAGCCCAGGCAACAAGAGCAAAACTCCGTCTCAAAAAAAAAAAAAAAAAAAAAACACTAGCTTTTAATAGATATTATTCATTTTATTTCAAATCAAATAATGATTTTTGTATCATTTTTATGACAATAAAAACTAACAGCACCACTTGTAAAACAAAAAGAAAAGTAAAACAGGTGTGAAAATATGATAGCATCTATTTCAGAGCCCTTTGAAACATTCTGTTTTAGTCTGTTACTTTTGCCTTCCGACTGTACCAGAAGGTAAGGGATAAAGCATTGACTTCATATATGACTATTCTGTAAAAACCAATGTTGGAGGTTCCAAGCAAACCATTGCTAAGGAACAGTAACAATTACAAAGTTTAGCCCAATTACTGTATTGACAGAAGGACACCTATAAGTTAGAGCTTAGATATACTACTGTTGTAATAGCTGTGGTGATTTCAGTTCAATACTGTATTCAAGAGAGATACAAAGATGATTAAGAGAAAGTTGCTGCCTTTAATGTATTTATAATGTACTGAGGTGAATGGATAAATATACAACCTAAGGCAGCAAGTATCATAATTAGGTAGCAAATAAAGGCCCATAAGAACATTTTAAGAGATCTAGTTTAACAGGGGGCTTACAGCTACTAATTCAGAGGAAACATGACATGCGAGAAAGGCTCTGGAGTTAGATGGTCAGGCATATAATCCTAGTCACTTTCTTGTTGTGTAAACTTAGAAAAAAGTATTTAGTTTCTCAAAGGCATTATAGGCTAGGTATTACTTTCTGTGAGGCTTGGCTTTATCTCCTGAAAAATGAGGATACCTGAATTTTTACTATGAAGATTAGGTGAAGATTAGGTAAAGTACCTAACAAACACAGTGATTGCTTAAGAACAAATCTAGTTAATAAATTTTTTTTAATGTATTCCACATCACTAAATTCATATACTGAAAAAGATCAAGACATCTTTGAAAACTAACATTAGATTAATTTCCATGAATCCAAACCCGTGTGTTATCAGGAAGATGATTTAATTTCAGATACTAGTATGGGGAAAGAAATATATGTAGTATTTTTAATAATTTGATTCTACATTTTAAATATTCTATAATTCGATTCTTAGGACTGGGTTTGGGCTCTGGAAAGTAAGTGCCTTTTTGGGCAGATGTGAGCTATTAGAAGTTTTACATGTGGAATGAGTCCCAATATGAGGACAGTTTTAATGGCATACCCTAATTGGTACTCAGTTTTTCCTCTTGGAAATAATAAAAGACTTTCTAAGCAAATAGAAATCTTTCTGTAACTGAGAGTAATTGGCTATACATATGGATCTTGACTGCAATATTTTGTTATATACTTAAATCTACTTCTTAAGTTGACTTAAATCTACTTCTTAAGTTGTCGATAACACATATGACTTACCTTTAATAACTGACAAGGTGTTTGCCCAAAATTATTAATCATCCCTTCTAAGGCTTTTCTTTCTTTCTCATCTGTTAAGGCATCCAGATCCACAGCTCCTAAAACCAGGAGAAGAAGTCAACTTACTACAGAGTGAAAATAAATCAGCAAGCCACATCACTGATTAATGTATCAGGCTCACTGGTGTGTGTGTGTGTGTGTATACACATATATATATATACACACACATTTTTTTTTTTTGAGACAGTCTTGCTGTGTTGCCCAGGCTGGAGTGCAGTGGTATGCTCTCGACTCACTGCAACCTCCACCGCCTGGGTTCAAGCGATTCTCCTGCATCAGCCTCCTGAGTAGCTGGGACTACAGGTGCATGCCACCACGCCCAGCTAATTTTTGTATTTTTAGTAGAGATTGGGTTTCACTATGTTGACCAGACTGGTCTTGAACTTCTGACCTCATGTGATCTGCCTGCCCCAGGCTCCCAAAGTGCTGGGATTACAGGCGTGACCTACCACCCCAGCCTCACTGGTACAGTTTCAATAAAATATTATTCTATTCTTCAATTTATAACATTGTGAAAAGGTAATTTTAAAAAATCAGCAACTCATCAAACATTAAATATATGTAAAAATTAGCTAAAATATTTTAAGCAATTGAAAGTTAAATGATATTCTATGAAGGTTTCTACTGGGGGAGGGGTGGTGGGTCATGCCTGTAATCCCAGCACTTTGTGAGGCTGAGGCAGGAGGATTGCTTGAGACCTGGAGTTTGAAACCAGCCTGGGCAACAAAGTGAGACTTCATCTCTCTAAAAAATTTTAAACATTAGCTGGGTGTGGTGGTAAGGCAGGAGGGACTGGTTGACCCCAGGAGTTCCAGGTTGCAGTCAAGTATGATTATGCCACTGCACTCTAGCCTGGGTGAAAGAGCAAGACCCTGTCACAAAATTAAAAAAAAAAAAAAAAATATAAGTTTCTTTTGCAAAAATACGAACTATACTCAGAGTATACCTAATTGTTTTGGTCATAATAGCCAAACTCAAACAAGAGTAATAACTACACAAAAATACTGCTTTAAGTTATTGCTTGAAACAAAGGTTTCGAAAGGTAATATTCTGGTTAACTGATTATACTCAGCCACATCTAATATGGATTGTTACATGACTAGTAATTGGCTAAACTAGGTAAGTCCAAGCTTCTAACAGCCATGCAATACTTTCTCCTTACAAACCTATTACCTGAATGGATACGGCATGGCAAAAATATGCTCATTTACCAAAAGTCTCTCACTGTATTCACATTCACATAACTTCACAGTATTCACCATCTTTAGAACTATTAGTCTACTTAAGGATTAATAAAGAACTACTTTTTAAAAATCATTTTAAGGCCATCAGAAAATACTCTTAATTCTGAGCAAAATAATGTCATCATATGTATCATTTGAAGAATTTGTTATTTGTAATTTCAAAGGCCTTGTTTCAAAATCTGCTACTGTTTAATACTGAATATTTAATGTTTGACTCAACTGAATAGGACAAATATGTTAGAGATCAAAAACTTTTATGATGTTAATAAGTGACATTTATAACTAGACTGGCATATACACACTTAACTACTATTACAAAAACAGCAGCAGTCTCTTAATCTTTCAAGTAAAAAGACGTTTTGAAAATGTAGTCTTTCTCATATTAAATAGGCCCAAAATAACTGTAAACATATATTAAACAATAGTTTCTATCACGGTAAAGCAAGAGAAAAAGTGTATAGATTTATACCTTCGTAACTACAATAATAGAAAACGTTGAGTGCCTCTACTGCAGCTGGTCCCCTCTGTTTATAGCCAAAGATCAGATCTATCCATTCATGAAGATGAGCTGAAACATATTCAGACTCCTAGGAAAAGAACAAATTTAATAATTAATATAGAGATATCTTCCAACTGCAATGTAAATTCGATTCTTTAAAAAAGTAAGAACAAATGAAACATTTCCACACACAAATCTTTCTGGTGGCAAAATAAAATTATCTCAAAATAATGGCAAACATTTATTCAATATCTACTACATATATTAACTATTCCTATCTACTATAATGTAGATATATTTATTAATATTAATACATGCATTTCCTAATAGGCAAATAAAATACAAATATGCTTATAACAGCCCAAAAATAATAACAAAAGAGCTAAAAGACAGCTATGGAATGCATCTCTGTGGTAAAATTTCCATTGAAATAGTTGTCTAGAAATTCAATTCAAGAAAAAAAAAAAGATCAATTTAAGGAAACAATGAAACCACACTTAGGTGGACAAAATGGCTGCAAATCATTCTCTCCCTCACAGTAACCACTTACTAAGAGGAGGACAGGGTGGCAGGTAGAGACCTCCTGGAAATTACTAGTGATAACTTGAAAGACAGTGAGGATATTGTTATTGGAGACAGGAGAAAATGGGACTCATGTTTTAGTTATATGAAAGAAAGAATGAACTCATGAATTTGGGTGTACAGACTTCCAAACAGAACATTTTAAGTACCATTTGGCTTCCTTCAGGCGCCTATGATAAAGTATGAGAGGAGTAAGATGGGTTAAAAAGTGAACTATTTGATTTTTTTGTTGGAGGGGACGGAATCTCTTGCTCTGTCACCCAGGTTGGAGTGTAGTGGCGTGATCTTGGCTCACTGCAACCTCCGCCTCCCAGAGGTTCAAGAGATTCTACTGCCTCAGCCTCCTAAGTAAGTTGGGATTACAGGTGCCTGCTACCACACCCAGCTAATTTTTTGTATTTTCAGTAGAGATGGGGTTTTAACATGTTAGCCAGACTGATCTAGAACTCCTGACCTCAGGTGATCCACCTGCCTTGGCCTCCCGAAGTGCTGGGATTACAGGTGTGGGCCACCACGCCCAGCCAAAAGTGAACTATTTGATTTTTAAGCACAATTTAAAGAAAATATAAAAAAGCCAGATATTGCTGGATTCAAAAATAAAACCATTGCAAGAGCCAGGCATGGTGGCTCATGTCTGTTATCCCAGCACTTTGGGAGGGCAAAGCAGGTGGATCGCTTGAGCCCAGGAGTTCCAGACCAGCCTGGGCAACATGGCGAAACCCCCCTTCTGCTACAAAAAATTAGCTGGGAATGGTGGTATGCACCTATAGTCCCAGCTACTCAGGAGGCTGAGGTGGGAGGATCACTTGAGCCCAGGAGGACATGGCTGAAGTGAGTTGTGATAATGTCACTGCACTCTAGCCGGGGGACATTTCTCAGTCCCAGGATCTCTAGAGGGCAAAGACTCTCGAAATGAGAAATTGCCTAAGGCAACTATCAAATCAGAATGTCACCGGTAAAATATGGTCTTGGATAAAAGTTTAGTTCAAGTGTTTGGCTGTAAAATCATCTGTTGGAACCTCAGAAAGATTTAAGGTTGTACCCCACAGACCCACTCAACTAGAAAATAGAGTGTCTAAGAATCTTAAGAGCATTTTTCCATAGTAGCCGCCCATTCAACCCAAAGTAGAGAAGGGACTGTTTTGTAAAGTAATGTTGAATGGCTTTTGTCCAATAGACCTGACACATAAGAAACCTATAAGGTTTTAAATGGAATTAGACTAGTTATAGAGTAAAAGAGAGAAACTGCTTAAAAAAGAAGAGAGATCTTTGGCTTTCAATTCACTGTGGTTAGGAAAGAGGCTGACAAAAACACTCATGTAAACGAAGTTTTGTTTTTGCTTTTGTTTTAAGTGGAATAAAAAGAATGACTTAGTGAGAGGCCAAAGCTCAAAGGTAGAACCAAGAGCCACTGAACACCCCTCTCAGGAAACAGGACTGGACCCTAATAGAAGATCTGAGAGCATGTCCTTACTGGAATTCTGAATTGCTATAAACCAGTGACTGCTAGAAGCCTCCTGTTTTCCTCCTCCTTTTGAATGGGAGTGTCTGTTAAAAGTTCTCTTATCCTTTCATACCACTGTTGTTACATGGGGGCAGATAACTTGCCTCTTTAGTTCAGGCTTCAGATCCAAGAGGAGCCACATCTGAGTAATTTCATCCACACGCAGACTTGACTTAGATAATGAGATCCTGAATTTTAGGCCTCAAGCCTTAATGTGGAATAGCAAACTACTGTCTGTGGGTCAAATCTGAGTTGCTGCCAGATTTGTAGATTAGTAGTAGAACACAGCCACATCCATTTGTTTTTGCAGTACAACGGCAGAACTGAGTAGCTGCAACATAGATCTTATGACCAACGAAGGCAAAAAATTTACTATCTGTCCCTTTACAGAAACAATTTGCCAATTCCTTCCTTAATGAGATGAGGGTTTTAGGGGAAGGGTGTCTTGAGAGGAAGTGAATATATTTTGCATGTAGGAGTAAAATAATTTTTGAACAGAGGGCAGAATATATGTTGATTAAAGATAGCTACAAATTCTTGCCAGGTGCGGTGGCTCATGCTTGTAATCCCAGCACTATGGGAGGCCGAGGCATGTGGATCACGAGGTCAGGAGACTGAGACCATCCTGGCCAACACGGTGAAACCCAATCTCTACTAAAAATACAAAAAATTAGCCAGGCATGGTGGTGGGCACCTGTAGCCCCAGCTACTCGGGAGGCTGAGGCAGAAGAATGGCATGAATCTGGGACACGGAGCTTGCAGTGAGCTGACATCATGCCACTGCACTCCAGCCTGGGCGACAGAGTGAGACCCTGTCTCAGAACAACAACAACAACAACAAAAATATAGCTACAAAATCTTTCTCACTCTTAGCATTGAGAGAGGGAGCTCAATTTCCCTCCTCTTCAATCTGGCATTGATACTGTTACTGTTTAAACATTATAAAGTGGCAGAAGTGATGCTATGAAGAAATAGTGGAAGTTTTCACTTTCGGAGAGCACTTAGCTGCCAGGTGAGGAGTCTCACTACCCAGCTGAAGAGGAGATATCCTGAGATTACATGGAGAGGCAGAAAAGCTAGCATCCTACTGTTTCAATGCAGCCTTCAGATGACTCCAATCCCAGCTGCCACATGACTGTAACTAACTGCACGAGAACTTCAAGCAAGAGCAGAATTCCTCAGTTGAGGCCAGCTAACCCACTAACCTGTAGGAGATGATGATAAAATGGCTATACTTTTTTTTTTTTAATTGTTATACTTTAAGTTCTGGGATACACGTGCAGAACATGCAGGTTTGTTATGTAGGTATACATGTGCCATGGTGGTTTGCTGCACCCAACAACCCGTCATCTACATTAGGTATTTCTCCTAATGCTATCCTTCCCCTAAAATGGCTATACTTTTAAGCCACTGAATTCTGGAACAGTTTGTTACTCAGTAATACATAACTGAAATATATAATTCTAATATCTTATTAATAGGGTTGTGAAAGCTGTATGGATAAAAATGGAGTCCCTTATGCCAAAACCTAACAAAATCTAGTGGAGAGGCCATAAAGGAGGGGCTCTTATGCATACATGTCTATAATAAAGACTATCACAAAGACACTCTGAAAACCACAACCATACACCAGGAATACTTCTGCGAGGATGTCTGCCCAGCAACTGCCTGTTCAACCTTGGAATAATGCCATCCTTGTTATTAATCCTTGTGGTCAAGGATAATTGTTTCAAAACAACTTATGTAACCTTCCTCATTCTACCTTTAAAAACCTTTGCCTTCCTGGGTACATCTCTGGCCCCTAATGGTTCACCAGGGCACAAGTATTATCAGACTGCAGTTCATCATTCATTCCCAAATAAGTCTTTTTTTTTTTTTTTTTTTTTTAAAGAGACAGGGTCTTGCTATATTGCCCAGGCTGGTCTCAAACTCCTGGGCTCAAGTGATCCTCTCATTGCAGCCTCCCAAGTAGCTGGGACTACAGGTGCACACCACCCACACTTGGCTAAACTCATTTTTGCTTTTTTAAATTTTTTCTAAATTCCTTATTCATGCATAGGGTTAAGGCTTACAAATAGTATAACTGAATTCTGAATTTTATAAATATATGCTTATTTTATAAATACATAATGATAAAAAATGTTTCCAAGTACTGGCTTAATTATTTTCAGAGTCCTCCAACATTTCAGCTTAGGTAGAGAATAAAGTGGGCTACTGTGGGGAAAAGTGGAGCCATCAATATCATCTGCAAGATAGCAACACAATATCAATGTTAAACTAACCCTCACTAGTCCTTCAATTCCAAATTAGGAAATTTAACTAAAAACTAATACTTTATTATTATTATTTTTTGAGATGGAGTCTCGCTCTGTCTCCCAGGCTGGAGTCCAGTGGTGTGATCTCAGCTCACTGCAACCTCCGCCTCCTGGGTTCAAGAGATTCTCCTACCTCAGCCTCCTGAATAGCTGGGATTACAGGCACCCGCCACCACACCCAGCTAATTTTTGTATTTTTAGTAGAGATGGGGTTTCGCCATGTTGGCCAGGCTGGTTGCAAATTCCTGACCTCAGGTGATCTGCCCGCCTTGGCCTGCCACAGTGCTGGGATTAGAGGCATGAGCCACTGTGTCCAGCCATACATTTTTTAAAGTGGCATTTAAGGTTTAGCTGCCTTTTTTTTTTTTTTTTTGAGACAGAGTCTCAAAAAAAATTGCATTCCTGTCACCCGGGCCATTGCATTCCTGTCACCTGGGCTGGAATGCAATGGCGTGATCTCAGCTCACTGCAATCTCTGCCTCGTGGGTTCAAGTGATTCTCCTGCCTCAGCCTCCTGAGTAGCTGGGATTATAGGCATGCGCCACCACGCCTGGCTAATTTTTTTATCTTTAGTTTCACCATGATGAAGTTTCACCATGTTGGCCAGGCTGATCTCTGAACTCCTGACCTCAGGTGAGGCCTTGGCCTCCTTGGTCTCCAAAAGTGCTAGGATTACAGGTGTGAGCCACTGCGCTTGGCTTAGATGCCTTTCTTTTAGAAGCTTAGTGAAATCCTTCAGAGAAAACAAAAATGTACTCATCCTTGTTAGACTTAAAATAAATGTGAAAACTGTAAAACGCCAAACCACACCAGCTTGGTGACTGGAACATTTACATATACAGCAGATGGACATTTTACAGAGCTGAAATGTTTAATATTTTGCTATATATATATATTTTCATGGTACTATACTACAGTCTCACTATATCAGAAGATTCATAGCCTCAAAATAAATTACCATATTGTACTTTCTAAAGTCAGCTTATATGATAAATTACAAATTAATCTAGAAAAATAATTAAGTCAGATTATCCCATCCCCTGGAAAACACATCTTTTATCTTATTATTCTGTCTAATAACTAAATGCAAAAGTCTCACCAAAGCTTTCCTATGTTTATAGATGAAATCTTCAGCTGATTTAGCCCATTTGGGGAGAATGACATCATTTACTAATTCTCTGGAAACTTGTAGACGACCCAAGTTAAATTCTAAGACATGTAAAAAGAAACTGTATCAAATCATTGTAGATTATAATAAACAAAGTAAAACAAACAATAATAAGGGCACATTCCCACGCAAAACATTTTTTTTCTTTTAAAATTCTTATCTATTGGAGTACATACCAGTTAATTTAAAAACAAAAATAACTAGTTTTAAATTAGCTATTATAATGTAAATTAGAGTAAGAATTAAGTTGTTAAGCAAGAAAAGTGGGGGAAGCTATAGCTACAACCCTTATTTTAATCTGACCAAAATGAAAAATTAAGTTTTCTTCTCACACTTAAAATAATGAGAGGGACACAGTCCCTCTAATAGTACACTTACAAAATACAGCTCCTTAAAGCTTTTTGGTGTAACTCACACCTTAAACTCACTCACTAGAACGGTTATATTTGTCTGATGAAGAATAACATATTTACATACCACTATTCTAAAAAGATACTTGCATAATAAAGATCTGCTCATATGGTTAGAACATGGCATTTTGATAAAATTTCCCCAAATATGAGGGTTTTTTTTTTTTGTTTATACAACGTGGCGGGGTAGAAGGGGGACTGTTAACACAAAAGACCTTTAAAAAAGAAGGCCTTAAAATACCAGTGTGCTGCCTTAAAATACTAGTGTATCACAAGTTGGAGAGGAATTTAAATGTCATAAAATGACAGGATGCACAGTGCCTTTGGTTTTATGTTAAACCCATCACAGTGTAGCAGATATTATTTGTTGCCCACCTGATAGTCATTCCCCCTTTTTATTTGCTAGCAGAACCTTTATTTCATTCAAGTGTCCATCTCTGCCCTATATTTCATGCCCATTCCAGGTGACTGGTCTAGGGGTTGGTATATGACCCAGTTCTGGAGAACGAGAAGTTATGAGGAAGAGTTTTTCACTCTTAAGAAAGGACACAATGGATTAACAGCCTCACTTATTTCTAAGATATTGTTGGATCTGCCTATGATGCCTAAAACTGCGTTAGGCATTTGTGACCATAAGAGGAACTAGCCAAAGTCAAAATGGCACAGTGAAAATACAGAAAAAAAGTTAGCGCTGATGATGCTAAGCTATCTGAAATTTCCATACCTCAGGAATTTTATTATGGGAAACATTAAAATTTCCTTGTTTGCACAATTTTGAGCTGGTTTTATTAAAATTTTTTCCTAAAGGCATTCTGTTTTTCTTTGTTTTTAAATTTTTTACTCTTAAAGGCATTCTAATTGATATATTTACTTTCTGCCAAACAACTCACCTCAAAGAGGCAATGTATAGTTAGAAGTGGAGGCCATCAAGACAATGGTGCTAAAGATAGCAACTAACTCTTATATAAATTGTTAAAGAGTACCTTAAGTTCTCTATCCAAATGTAGTCTGCTCATCCCTCCTATTCTAGATACTCTGCTTTAGGATAATCCAGTCCAACAGCTGACTGAGAGTTTAGGATCAGACTCAGACAACAGATTTACCTCATTTTCTGAAAGTCACCAATTTTGACTGCCTTACTGTGACGCCCTGCCTCCAACAGCCTGTTCCAGAGTACACAAAGTGACATTAAGCCCTGGATATGTTCTCCTCAGTATGAAAAATAATTGTACTGAATAAACGAAGGGTCAAACATTAACACTACATGTTAGGGCAGGGAAAAAAGTTGGCAATAACTCTTTAACATTGTGGAACCTCCCTAAAGAACACCAATAGTAAAAATATTGCTATTTTCCTTATTTGTACTTAAAAGTAAATGTAAAACTACCTCACAGGAAAAGAATTTGGACGTTTAAAAATGTATTAATATTTAACTCCATACTTCTCTACTTCAAAAACATAAATTTTCAAATATTATAGTAACTTATATCCTGTCATTTTAATTTGCCTACTCTTGCATGCTCTAAATCAGGAGTTACCAAACTTTTCCTATAAAAGGTCAAAGAATAAATATTTTTGGCTTTGTGAGTGATATCATATCTGCTGCAACTACTCAAATCTGCTGATATGCTTACTTTGAAAGTAACCTTCTATGATACAAAAATGAATTGGCTGGCCGGGCATGGTGACTCACACCTGTAATCCAAGCATTTTGGGAGGCCGAGGTGGAAGGATCACTTGAGCCCAGGAGTTCAAGACCAGCCTGGACAACAAAGTGAGACTCCATCTCTCCAAAAATAAATGCGGGCATGGTGGTGCACACCTATAGTCCCAGCTACTCAGGAGGCTGAGCTGAGAGGATTGCTTGAGCCCAGGAGGTCAAGGCTGCAGTGAGTAGTGATCACGGCACTGCATTGCAGCCTAAGGAAAAAGCGAGACTCTGTCTCAAAAAAAAAAAAAAAAGGAATTGGCTGGCTGTGGTCCAGTGAAACTGTATATATAAAGACATGAGTTTGCCCATGGAGTTGGTTAATAGACCTGTAGTCAGCTGATGGTTAGTCTAAATACTCACCTTATCTAACTCAAACACTTTTAGCCTAAGTGGTATATATAGCTGAAATAGCACATGGTCATTTTTGCTTCCCTAGTAAACACTGTACACTATAGTGTCTGATAAATTCTCTTAATGATTCAAATTTGACCCCTTTAGCTTAGTTCCCCACAGCACTTCCCTGGAAGGTAAGACTCATACCATTAGTTCAGCCCTGTCACTAAGTAATCCATAGACAGAATGAATCTTAAATAATCTACAGGATATTATAAAAATGTCCTGAAAGACATTTTTGAGGCTCGTCCATTGGGACCTGCTAGTCAAATTTTTAATCCCCTATTTCTTACGATTTTGATTTTCCAAAAACTCTGGGAAATAGAAGAATTCAGGAATAAGTTCTTTCACATCATATGGATTATCCATGAGAGCTTGCCAGGTTGCAGGAATAGAATGGAACTGCCGATCTGCACAGTCAAACCTGCATGTAGAAATTAAAAGAGAATGTAAATATTGAATGAAATCAACAAGACATGAAACAAAACTTTTAGATTCCCTTCAGGGTTCCTAATGATTAGAGGTACTGTTTTCTAAATCTTCCTCTTTAATGCCTACACACACAATTTACTCTCCTTATTATGATAATCTCATAGTTGTCAGGAACTAAATACTCTAATTTTAATCACCAGTAGCACCTTAGTTGAACTAGTCGAAAACCAAATCACACTGGAGAAAGATTTCACATAAATTAAATATAATCTTAAGAGTCTTTTTAGGGCCGGGCGCGGTGGCTCACACCTATAATCCCAGCACTTTGGGAGGCCGAGGTGGGCAGATTACCTCAGGTCAGGAGTTCAAGACCAGCCTGGCCAACATGGTGAAATCCTGTCTCTATTAAAAATACAAAAATTAGCCGGGGGTGGTAGCACACACCTGTAATCCCAGCCACTCGGGAGGCTGAGCCAAGAGAATTGCTTGAGCCTGGGAGGTGGAGGTTGCAGTGAGCCGAGATCGTGCCACTGCACTCCAGCCTGGCCGACAGAGCAAGACTCTTTCTCAAAAAAAAAAAAAAAAGGCATTTTGCTGAATAAAATTTATTATAGAAAGTGAATGTTATTTCAATATTTGAAAATCACAGAGTATAAATATGATTATAAACATTATAGTATCAATATACTTGGTTAATAGATCTATAGGAATGATGCTGATTTAATCACTGATATGTAAATATTTTTACAAACTCTTCTGCTTAAAACCAGAGAGTGAGTTAGGGAAATAGCTCTGTGGCTAAAGCTTTTATGTTTTACTTGCATAATCTATTGTCTTATTTTAATATTATTTTAAAATTAATTTTATGTATTTACTTATTTTAGAGATGAGGGTCTCACTATGTTGCCCAGGCTGGAGTGCAGTGGCTATTCACAGGCACCATCATAATGTGCTGCAGTGTTAAAACTCCTGGCCTCAAGAGATTCTCCCACCTCAGCCTCCCAAGTAGCTGGGACTAAGAAGCCCAGGCCTGCTTCTGGCTTAATTTTATTTATTTAAATTTACTATGGGCACTGCGTCTACAGTAGGTGAATGAAGCTCAAGTGGATATGCTGCAATTGTATTATGCTTTCCCTAATAAAATAACAGTATAAATCCCTTCTGTTTTATTTCATTTGATATTGTTTTCCTGGATTTATTAAGTATTTAATGGCCTTGAGTCTAAGGTAAGGCTATGCACAAGAAAAAAAGTGACATTAATGACCAATTTGTCTGTTGTTTTTTACACCTATTTAATCTTGGTTTGAGGCAGAGTTGATCTTAGCAGAATTTCGAATTTAATTATAATTTAATTATAGATATCAGACCATCTAAAACATTATAGTATATAGTATATTCAAGAAGAGGTATAGTTTTGAGATAAAATTAACATATCACATAAATTGCTTGTTTTAAGTGGATAATTCAAGGGTTTAATTCAGTATATTCATAGTTGTGCAACTATCATCACAATGAATTTTACAACATTCTCATCACTCCAAGAAGAAATGTACCTATTAGCAGTCACTGTCCATTCACCCTACTCCCACCCTTGGAGACTGCTAACGTACCTTATATCTCTATGCCTATTTTTATTTCATTTTGCCTAGTCTGACGATCTGTCTATTTTGGACGTTTCATGTAAGTCATGTAATATGTGCCCTTTTGTCTCTGGCTTATTTCACTTGGCATAGTGTTTTCAAGGTTCATCCATATTACAGCATGTATCAATACTTCATTCCTTGAATTCATTCATGGCCAAATAATATTCCACACTGTATGGATATATCACATGATTCATTTATCAGTAGATGAACACTGGTTTGTTTCTACTTTTTGGTTATAAATTATACTGGTATGGCCCGGCTAGGTGGCTCATGCCTGTAATCCCAGCACTTTGGGAGGCCGAGGTGGGCAGATCACTTGATATCAGGAGTTCACGACCAGACTGGGCAATATGGCAAAACCCCGTCTCTACCGAAAATACAAGAAAATTACTTGAGTGTGGTGGTGCACACCTATAGTCCCAGCTACTTTGGAGGCTGAGGCAGGAGAATCGCTTGAGCCTGGAAGATGAAGGTTGCAGTTAGCTGAAACTGAGCCACTGCACTCCAGCCTGGGTGACAGAGCAAGACTCTGTATAAAAAAAAAAAAAAAAAAAAAGGCTGGTATGAACATTTATGTACAAATTTTTGTGTGAATACATGTCTTCAATTATCTTAGGTATGTATATAGAAGTGGAATTTTTAGGTTATACAGCAATTCTATATTTAATTTTTCTTTCTTTTTTTTTTTTTTTTTTTTTTGAGATGGCGTCTTGCTCTGTCTCCCAGGCTGGAGTGCAGTGACATGATCTCGGCTCACTGCAACGTCTGCCTCCCGGGTTCAGGCAATTCTCCTGCCTCAGCCTCCAGAGTAGCTAGGATTACAGGCACCCGCCACCATGCCCAGATAATTTTTGTATTTTTAGTAGAGACAGGGTTTTACCATGTTTGCCAGCCTGGTCTTGAATGCCAGACCTCAAGTGATTTGCCCACCTCGGTCTCCCAATGTGCTGGGATTACAGGTGTGAGCTACCACACCCAGCCCTCTATATTTAACCTTTTGAGGAACTGCCAGAGTATTTTCCACAAAAGTTGCACCATTTTACATTCCCATTTGCAGAATTTATAAGGGTTCCAATTTCTCCACATGCTCTTCAGCACTAGTTATTATTTGTCTTTTTTATTATAACTATCATAATGGGTATGAAGTGGCATCTCGCTGTGGTTTTGATTTGAATTTCCCTGATGACTCATGCTGTTGAGCATCCTTTCATGTGTTTATTGAACATTTGCATATCTCCTTTTAAGAAATGTTTATTCAGATCCTTTGTCTATTTTTTCATTGGGTTGTCCTTTTATTATTAAGATATAAGAGCTCTTCCCCCTCCCTCTTTTTTTGTAATAGAGATGGGTGTCTCTCTATGTTGCCCAGGCTGAACTTGAACTCCTGGGCTCAAGCAATCCTTGTGCCTCAGCCTCCTGAGTAGCTGAAGTTATAGGTGTGTGTCACCTCACCTTGAGTGTAAGGGTTTTTTATATATTCTAGGTACAAATATACAAGTCCTTTATCAGATATAGTTTTCATTTCTTTTTTTTTTTTGAAACAGAGCTTTGCTGTGTCACCCAGGCTGGAGTACAGCGGTGCAATCATGGCTCACTATAGCCTTGACCTCCTGAGCTCAATCTATCCTCCCACTTCAGCCTCCTAAGTAGCTGGGACTACAGGTGCACACCACTTCACCTGACTAATTTTCTATTTTTTGTAGAGATGGGGTTTTGCCTTCTTGCCCAAGTTGATCTCAAACTGATGGGCTCAAGTGATCCACCTGACCTGGCCTCCCCAAGTGTTGGGAATTAAAGGCATAAGCCACCATGTCTGGCCAGTTTTTACTTTCTTGAGGGTGACCTTTGAAGTATTACACAATCTATTTTTGAAGCTTTGTAAAAAATCATTTAGTCATAAAATTATTAAAAGCTGAAAAGACCCAGTGATACCTTATTGCATCTTTTTTTTTTTTTTTTTGAGACAGTTTCACTCCTTCACCCAGGCTGGAGTGCAGTGGCACAATCTCAGCTCACTGCAACCTCTGCATCCCATGTTCAAGCAATTCTCATGCCTCAGTCTCCTGAGTAGCTAGGACTACAGGCGTGCACCACCATGCCTGGCTAATTTTTTTGTATTTTTAGTAGAGATGGGGTTTCACCATGTTGAACAGGCCAGGCCAGACTGGTCTCGAAATTCTGACCTCAGGTTATCCACCCACCTTGGCCTGGGATTAGAGGTGTGAGCTGCCACACCTGGCCTACTTTATTGCATCTTATGAAGAGAAAAGTATCTTCTATCCGATACTTTAACAATAATATTCCATTGTATGGATATATCACATTTATTTATTCATTTATCAGCAGATGGACACTGGTTTGTTTCCACTTTTTGGTTGTAAATTAATCTGGTATGGCAGGGCACAGTGGTTCACGCCTGTACTCCCAGAACTTTGGGAAGCCAAGGTGGGTGGATCACTTGAGATCAGGAGTTCAAGACCAGCCTGTGCGATGTGGCAAAATCCCATCTCTACCAAATATACAAAAAAATTACCCGGGTGTGGTGGCGCACCACACCACACACATCTCAGTGAGCTGAGACTGCACCACTGCACTCCAGCTTGGGTAAAGGAGTGAGACTCTGTCTCAAAAAAAAAAAAAGATGCAATAAAGTATAACTGGGTCTTTTCAGCTTTTAGTAATTTTATGACAAAATGAATTTTTACAAAGCTTCAAAAATAGACTGTATAATACTTCAAAGGTCACCATCAAAGGTTACATGGTACATGTAAAATCTGGGGATGTTTAGTGATCTTAGGGCCAGAGTCTCTTCTTGAAAGCCAAGGCTCATTGTACATAGACAGAAATAAGGAACCCAGGCTAACTGTGAGAGATAAAAGCTACATGGAAAGAGAACAGAATAGGCAATATTTACATAGCTCTGGATTGGGTATGGACGGCAAAATGGTTGTTAAAGAATAAGGCAACGTGGAGACAAAACATGTATAAATAGGGAGCTATATGGAGGATTTATTGAGGAACAGAAGATTCATGGAAAAGCTGGTTTCCTTAGGATTAGGAAAATGTACAACATAGGTAAGTTATAATACCCACAGTGTAAATACAGTGGTACAAAGACTTGTTTGAGCTGCTGCAATAATATGAGTCTCTCATTGCTCCTCCTTCCATTCCTCATGATACATATTTTTAGGACTACACAGGCATAGGCATTGGCTTGGTTTGACTCTCCGGTGATGCCTTAGATTTAGCTCTAAATCAGATCTAATTATAAATCTCTGGTAGATTCCTCAAAACAGTTAAGAATCACAAAGGTACACTGGAATAACACTGAAAAAGGAATTCTCCTTAAGTCACTGTGTGAGTCAGTTTGAGTGACTCATTCTCAAACTAGCTTATCTATTTTTAGCTGAATCAAAATTTAATACAGGAGAATAAAAAAAGACATGTTACACAGCACATGACATGAAGGCAAACAGTTTTCAACACTAACATATAGTCATAAAAAAAAAGCTTTTTTACTGAAAACATACCTTCCACTCTGAAGTTGGATGTGGAGGGTGGTGAATGGTTCTACACGAATGAGATAGTGCATGACCCCTGCAGAATTTGAATAGTGAGTACCATAGTGAAACTTATCAATAGTTCCCATAGGATCCTCAAAATTTTCATATCTGTGGGGAAAAAAATCCTAAAGTTTTATAACCACAATAATAAAAACATAAGGGGGCATAAGTTTGTATTTTATTTCTGAAAACACAAACACAAAATTTCTGATGGAGTTTTTAAAAAGTCCATCCTTATTCATATGCCTCATTATCAAACTCTGTATTCATATCATCATTATACTATACTAGCAAATGAAAAAAGTTTTATTCCTTAATACTTTTTTCTGAACAACAAAGTATCATAAATACCTAATTCTGGAATAGTTTTTATTTGTTTTTATTTTATTTATTTATTTTTTTGAGACAGAGACTCGCTCTGTTGCCCAGGCTACAGTGCAATGGCATGATCTTGGTTCACTGAAAGCTCCGCCTCCTAGGTTCACGCCATTCTCCTGCCTCAGCCTCCCGAGTAGCTGGGACTACAGGTGCCCATCACCACACCCAGTTAAGTTTTTGTATTTTTAGTAGAGATGGCGTTTCAACATGTTAGCCAGGATGGTCTCGATCTCCTGACCTCGTGACCCGCCTGCCTCAGCCTCCCAAAGTGCTGGGATTACAGGTGTGTGCCACTGTACCCAGCCTGGAATAGTTTTTATTATGCAATAATAATACATGTTCATTGTAGGAAAAATTAGAAAACAGAATTAAAACAGAAGAAACTTAAAATCAACTATGATTCTATGTCCCAGAGATAACTAACACTAATTTTTTGGTGAATATCTATCTATCCTAATGTATAAATATACAAATTTTTATTTTACATAAAAGTGCTATATATATTGTTCATAACTTATATTTTTTATTTAACAATTTTCTATGGACATCTTTCCAAATGACTGAGTAGTCTATTTTTAACAGGTACATAATACTATATAGATGTACCACGATTTAACTATTTTTTTACTTTTTAGACACTTAAGATTGTTTCCTTGTATTTTTTTGTTTGTTTGTTTTTTGCCAGTATAAAGCACTGTGATAATTAGACATCCTTTTGTGGCCAAGGTAACAGGAAAAATTAAAAAAAAAAAAAAAGGAAGAACCAGTCAAGAATTGTGAAAATTAATACCTAGAAACCTAAAGGTAAAATAAAAAAGGGATGGTGGATAGGAAAAAGGCCTAAACCAGATTATTACCAAAAGATACATAGTGATTCTTCAAGATCTATCACTGATACGTGTAATTAGTCTGAATGGTGACATCTGAATTAGTGTGTATAAAATCCAAATAAGAATAAAAGATTTTTGTAGGCCATAAACACTGAATTTCAAGAACCAAAATAGTAATGGGTTCATTAAGCTGGGGCCAATTTCCTTTTATATACTAATCATTAATATTCAGGGGAATAAAAAAGTTTTCAGTTCAAAGCCATTTGTATCTATGCAAAAATGTACCACTAAAATGTAAAACAACTTGTATCTTTAATTACCAATAAAATAAGTTATTTATATGAGTATTTCCTGTAGAACACTGTTTTAAAAAAATTACAAAATCTTCTTTCGGTTATTATCAGAAAAAAATGTTTGACTAATGGCAGTGATGGTATACATATATACCCAGCAAAGTTCCACTGGTAAATCAAATCAAATCAAATATTAAACATCGTAAAAATCCTAGGGAAGGTTGCAAAGAAAGAGTAGGAAAAAAAAGTACCATCTACTTTCATATCAATCTATAACTAAGTTAATTTGTAAAATAGTTTTGTCCTTATTATTAGAATTCAAAACTCAAAAGTCATCCCTAAGTTCACAGGGAGAAAAAGGGACATTAAAATCAGGTTACTCTTTTGCCTGTGGGCAGCTTGCTTCGAAAAAATTAACTGTGAGAAGTTGACAGGGTAGATCATAAACAGAACTATAAAATTTTCTTCTTCTTGTCAAAATGACATGTTCTAAACTGCCACACATCTACTCTTCTTTATTCACATTACTGAAAACACATCAGTATAAGTTGTATATCTACCCAAATATTATATTAGACAGATACTTTAATATGTTTGATTATTAAGTTATAAAGTTTGAAACATCTGGGAAGAAAAATTTCAAGAATTTATTACTCTTTAGCACATACTTATTACATGGTAAAAAGAAATTCTGAACAATATCAGTTTAAATTTGGTGATGAAGGGAAATCAACACAAATATAGTCAAGACTTCTGAAGGGCAACCAAGATATTTTCAAGAAAACTTAGTGAAGTAATTATCAGACTCTGATTATCAAAAGTAGTAGTACGGTAAAAAAAATTTTTTTGGTTGGCCATAGCAAAAAATCAATACAAATTCAAAGAAGCAATGTGTATTTTTCAAAAGGAATAAGAAGTACTTACTTTTCTCGCATAGCTTTGGCATTTTTTTCATTAACTACCCCAATTGGTTTGGAAAGATCTCGAAATACTGCAGGGTTATTAAGGTCCAACTCTTCTGAAGTATAATCTTGTAAAATCCAGGGAAACTAAAAGAGCCATAATTTACAATTTACACATTCCTTCCTAGAGAAGCTAATATCCTCATATCTAATATCAAATGGTTATCTAAAGACAAAAAGGGATAGTCTCTAAAAATATTTTTTCCCTGTTGTAAATATCCACTCATCTTTAATTCAATAACCAGAAGCATTACTTCCTATAATTCCACTGGGATATTTTACTTTCTTTCTTTTTTTTTTTTTTTTGTGAATCCACCTGCCTCAGTGCTGGATTACAGGTGGGGA